GTTCGAAAAGTTTCCTAGAATTTTCAAAATTGTCGACTGTCAAATTGCAAGGCTAGTATGATTTTTTGAAAATGATCATTAACAAACAGCTATAACTCAGTTTTTTTAAATGAAATGACTCTATTTTCTCAACGGCAATCAAAACTACATCAATTTGTAGAAGGACTTTTATCAACATGTCCTATACCTATCTCTTATAGTTTTTGAAATAATCACAAAAAACATGTTAATGTTTTTATTTTTATAGTTAATCACGTAGGCTTTGGAAAAATACAATAAGATATACTTATAATTAATACAGATGTTCGATATGTTTACCATTTTCAAACAGTCCAAAACTCGATGGTGAACTGAGAGTGGCTTCCATTATTTCATTTGGATGAAGATTATTAAATGCCACCTCAATCCTTGCCTCAATTCTTCGTAATTCCGGATGGGTGTTGTGTAGACTAATAAATCTTTAATACGTATTGATCATTTTCCAAAGCCTACGTTATTTACTATAAAAATAAAAAACAAAAACACGTTTTTTGTGTTTATTTCAGAAACTGTAAGAGATGGATATAGGACATGTTGATAAAAGTCCTTCTACAAATCCATGTACTTTCGATTGCAGTTGAGAAAATGGGGTCATTTTATTTGAAAAAACTGAGTTATAGCTGTTTGTTAAATATCATTTTCAAAAAATCATATAAGCTTTGCAATTTGACAGTTGACAATTTTGAAAATTTTAGGAAACTCTTCGAATCTTTGGTTATCGAATGCAAAAAAAATTATTCACTTATCGCAAACGGTTTAAGAGCTGTGATGTTTTTAATAAACCTCTGCAAATGAAAATTTTGAGCAAAAAATTGACATATGTCAGAAACTATGACAGATAAGTACTAACAACTAGGTACATTTTACTCAGTTTGGAGAGGAGAATTCAAAAATGCAATAAAAATAAGTGGTTACTATTTAAAATTTCAAAGTTGGCGCCAATTTCTCGTATTTCCGGAAGTTCAGCCATTTTGAAAATAATTTAATTGAACTTAGACTGGTCGATTTGAGTTGTGTACAAAATTTCAAATTTCTATCTGCATTAGAAGTTAAAAAGTTTCTAATACAGGGTGCGCCAGAACTCGCGCCCCAGAGAAAAATGTCAAATGCCGGTGGCAATAGGTTGACAAAAAGTGCAGCCGAAGAAGTAATTTTTGCTTGTATAAGAAAGTTAGTCGACTCTTAAATCCACCAATCCCAGAAGGGCACCTCAAGGCGTGATTGAAAAATTATATCGGTTGCTAGGTTACGAAAATAATACCAATTTGGCTAGAATTTAAAAAAATAGTTGGTCTACTGTAATTTTGCGTTTGACATTTATCGTGATGTGGGTGACATAACTTGCTAGTTTCCGGTATTTTTCTCGCATAAGAGGTTGTACACGAGTATTATGAGACAGAATCGTTAATTATTATCAACAATTATCAAAAATTATTTTGAAACATTCGGGGAACTCCTGATGAACCGACTTCTCTAAAACTTCTTCACAGGTATTGTTCCTTCTCAACTTTTTCTTCGATCTGATACAAATTAACATTTCATGTTTTTCTGGTCTCTCACTCTCACTTGCTTCTTTGTTTCATAAGGATAATGCACAAGTTTTCAAGCTCTAAAATTCATTTATCGGTTTGTTAATCTGTATCAGATCGAAGAAAAAGTTGAGAAGGAACAATACCTGTGAAGAAGTTTTAGAGAAGTCGGTTCATCAGGAGTTTCACGAATGTTTCAAAATAATTGTTGATAATAATTAACGATTCTGTCTCATTATACTCGTGTACAACCTCTTCAGCGAGAAAAATACTGGAAACTAGCAAGTTATGTCACCCACATCACGATAAATGTCAAACGCAAAATTACAGTAGACCAGCTATTTTTTTAAATTCTGGCCAAATTGGTATTATTTTCGTAACCTAGCAACGGATATAATTTTTCAGTCACACATTGAGGTGCCCTTCTGGGATTGGTGGATTTAAGAGTCTAATAACTTTCTTATGCAAGCAAAAATTACTTCTTCGGCTCCACTTTTTGGCGACCTATTGCCTCCGGCATTTGACATTTTTCTCTGGGGCGCGAGTTCTGGCGCACCCTGTATAGGCCCTAAAAGAATCACCTTGTATAAAATATTTTTTACAGTATTTGCTGTATTGGTTTTACATTTCATATTTATAATTCTTCCAAAATTACTAGCTGTTAATCTGTTATTTCTTTCTTTATCCCACTGCTCATTATTACGTTGACCAATTGTTTCAAGAGGGATTTTTAAAATATCGCAAGCAGCCAAATCATTCAAAAACTCACTTTTTATTTTTTCATATGTTTCCATTGGCATATCTATTATGTCATCAGTCGCACCATAATCGGAATCTGCACTTTGAATACGAATTTTTCTTTTATTTAATTTGGCAGCTTGGGTTTCTGTGGAATTATTATCGACATCGTACAAATTTATCTTCAAAAATTTGCAACTCTTTTTAATGCCCGCATGAACAATTCAAACAAAGAACTATTAAAAAAATCAGAATATGCAACTGCATTTATTATTTGACCAACTGTTTTACAGAAATACGAAGCGCGATTTGAATGATCACCAAAAATATGTGCGGGTCCATTTAAAATATCATTTTTCAAGTATTCTGTTTTTTGATGAATTGTACAGCTTTCGTTTTTTCTGTATTTTATAGCTGAAACAATTGCTGTTCTAAATTTCAAGTAATTGTTGCGCAAGAATGTTTTTATATTTATGTCGGATCGGAGAGTTTTAGCGATTTCTCTAATTTTGGTACAAAAATTTCGTAGTATATGATATCGGCATTCAATTTTTTGAATGAAATAATTAGGTCCATAGGGTCTCGCATTACGAATTTTTTTGTAGACACATGCATTTTGCATTTCCTGTTGTGGAATGTTCAAAGCTGCGCAAAATTCTGTTAGTTGAGAATAACCAGCACCTATTACTACTGTGCCACAAACAACTGCTTCATTTACTTCATTTGTGTGATTTTCTTTTTCGGTACTAAAAGTTCCTATTGCCCCTCACATACTACATTTGTATTTAAAAAAACTTTTAAACCACAAATGTGTTTCTAGAATGATGTTGAGGTTCAAAAAACTACAAGAAAAAATGTTATGTTTTATGTTTTTTAATTCCAAAAATAAATGCCCTATGTCAACAATCCTTCGACCACTTGGAACAAAATTTTGTTCTTGACTAGTTTCTTTGTCAATAATAAACACAATAAACATCGTCATCGGAACTCGATTCAATTGACTGAAAACTACATTCTGCAAGACTTGATTTACTTGGAAGATCAGTTTTAGAACCTTTTCGTTGTTTTTCCCAATAATTACGCATCATTTTCGGATTTTTCTTTTTTTTTGAAAGAAATTGTTTAGAATTATTACCCATAATTTCAATACAACGTTTTCAACAACAAGTGATAAGAAAATTTCAAAGCACTGCGGTGGAAGAGAGCCACTAGAAAACTGCAAAGAGTCAAAAAGTAAACAAGTTATAAAATTGTACGTTTTCAATATATAAGTCCCTACCACCACCATAAAATTTAGCAAAACCCACCACTAAACCTTGTTTTTCAAAATTTTCTGGAACTGGGTTGGTATAAGCACCTGGTTTATCTGAGCATAATAATAACCAAAAAAAAAAGTAGATTTTTCTTTTGATTTTGGATTTTGCTCGTTTCAGGTGAAGCGAAAAATGTTTCTCCTTTGCAGTTTTGACGTAAAATGAAAGATACATTTTTTTAAATTTATTAATAAATAATGATAGTTTTTGTTAAAAATGACTTTGTTTTTTATCTTAAAACTATTTCTTTGAGTTGCTATTTATCAAAATTATGTTTTTCCCACACTTTTTTTATTTAACTTGCGAAAACTCATTTGTCAAAGTGACATTATTGTCAAAAAATTATTCCAAAGTCCAAAATCAAGAGAAAAATGAACTTTTCTTTCTACTGAGCGAGAATCTAAATCTCTGAAATAAGAGAAACTTATCGATGGTGAAATTCTGTATTTGGTAACAATTTTTTGTTATTCTAATAGCTCATTATTTCAAAGTGTTTTCCACAAATCACGGAATTTGGGGGTACATTGCCGATGGTACCAAATATTGCCATTCGTTTTTTTTTATTTCTACTTTTTGGAAATTAATGTAAAATAACATCCTCTTTCTTCCCTTGCCCACAGTTTGGAACACTGCAAGTTCTTACTTGGCATTTTAAAAATTACAATGTAATGTCTGAATGATATTGATACTGCGCTTCTTAAGCTGAAAAAATGTAAGTTGTGAGACAGATCAATATTTTATTAAATGTGTCAACAATTTAACATTTAATTTCCTGCAAATTTTCAAATTTTACAAATTATAGTTTCCTTTGAAGCGTGACGCGCGCGTCATCTATCGGAATTTACCATTTTGACAAGTTCACGATTTTGGTCTATTGTCCAGACTTTATTACTGTCAATCAACGCAGACGACGCTATGTATAATAAAAAACAGACAATACGTCTATCCCTTTGGACATTTGTACGTTATGCCATTGATGGTTTACTAAAATTTTGGCATTGTAGCTTTATTTTTTTCTGACTGATGCATTTCATATAACAGTTAAAAAATAGACGGTTTGCAATAAAAAAACAACACTTTTTGCACTCTCACTTGTGTGAAAACTTACTTTGAAACATTTTTAAAATTTTTGTATTCACGTTATCGATGAACACAAACAATTTAACCCGACGCACCAAACTTGTATTTTTAACACAACGCGTTGCAATCACAAAGTAGTCATCCTCAGGTGAGAATAAAACTAAACTAATTTAATTATATTGCCTTATACAGGTAGGTACTATTTTTTCCGATTTTCACTTCCCACGTTATCAAGCTTTACTGTATTTGCAATTTTTATCTTTGAAACGAGATATCAGATATTCACTTAGTACCTGTTTATCCACAAATAATCATGCATTTTTGGAAATCTATTTGCTTTTATCTTTCATTAAATAATTTTATTTGTGCATACGTAGTTACATTCGCGAAAAATATAAGTGTAACATGTGTTTTAAGTGAAGAGACAGTTTTTTCAGCAGCATATATAGATATACTTGAAGAGAAGTCTGATAAAAATTACATTCCAGTTCATCGAAAGACAAACAAGATAAATATAAATCTAGATGACGACTGGAATATAACAGATGTTACACATTTTCCTTATAGTCCAATTTTGGATCAGCGTTGGGAAAGTATATAAACTAACAAAGGAATCATTATGAGGTTTATTATACTGCTTTTATTTAAGGTTTTAACGACAGAAACATGTTTTTCTTAGAACAATCAGTGACATCATTTTCAATATACGCTAACAAAAATCTCAAGTTTAGCGTGAGAGAAACTAATTACATGTATTCACAAGACTTTATTTTACCTGACGAAAGTTTTGATGCAGTAAGTAACTACTTGTAATAATAAAATTTAAAAAATAATTAATATTTTATGTAAAGTTAAACGATCGTCGCTGGTTTCACTATAGCATCAAGAGAAAAGATAATTCTGTGTACATAATTTCAGAAAATGGAACTTTAATTAGAAATATCATGACTGATTTTAAACCTGGTTTAATTACGGCGGATACCACTATGAGAATACATCATTGTAAAAATAGATTTTTACAGGAGAAACACAATTTTAACACAGTTATGTTTTTTAGACACATTTCGATATTCTCACCAAATTAGTTCAAACCCGAGGGCAATATATAACATATTTTTTGAAAACGAAACTTGCCTCTCAATGTTTGTATCCATTGATAAACATTGCTTTTTGGATGTAACTTTAAAATCTGATACAAATTCTATTATTAATAAAACAGTGGTTGCGGGATTCAATGATAACGAATCTTTAAAAACATGGAAAAGAATTGAAATTAAAGCATTTTTTTCTGGAAATGCAACGCTAAGTTTTAAAAGAAAACGTAATGATTTTCGAACGGAAGGTTATTGGGCTATTGACAAAATCCAATATTGCAAGAAAAATATAGGTTCTAAGTAAAGTTCAACTAATTAAAAAAATTTTAATATAAGAAATTTTAGAAGTGATTGTACAAAATTGTACAAAGTGTCAGTGCAAAGTTTTAAATCAGAACAACGAATTTGATAAAAAAATTTTTGATAATCCTGGTTTTTTGGGAAATAAAATAAACTGTTCAGACGTTTTAGGGAATTCGTATCCATATTGCGAAAAACATAAAATTTATGTTAAAAACAAAATCTTCTGTGCTTGGGGTTATCAAGGATCATTGTGCAACATAAGTACGTAGGTATAAAATAAAAAAACACATTTGCAAAATAATCAATTTTTAGCTTGTCCTTTTGGCTACTGGGGAATCGATTGTGCTCAAAAATGTAAACCCAATTGTGAAAGTTGCAATCATATAAAAGGCTGCATATCTAACACTACACAAATTAGTTACAACCAAACAAGTATTGAAAATTACTGTAAAAATGTAACAGAGGAGGTTTCAGTGAGTAACTTTCAGTTTACATACATATACAGAGAATAACAGAAATAAGTACACTAATTCTAATTACTTGGGATTATCAAGAGTAACAAACTCGCATTTTATGCACCATTTTTGGTTAGTTAACATGACGTTAATGATTAAAAAATCAGAGACAAAAAACTTTGACAAAGTATCATGTTTTTATTTTATTAAAAATAGATAATAATAATGATTTATTCTGAAAATAAATAAACAAATATACTTCTATTACAATTTTAGAACACACCACGGGAGCCTACTTTGCTTTTATCTTCAACACACGACATTATTTTGATGTGCCCTCTTATCGAATATTCCGAAAATAACTTTTACATAAACGTTTTAAAAGACGGAAGTAAAAAAATTAAAGAAAGTAATATTACAATAAACAATTATAATAGAGAATATAATTATTCTGTAAGTAACATGTATTCAATTTTTGATCCAAGTAGTCTGTGATTAGAAAATTAAGTTGATAACACTCAATAAGATAAGAACAAAATATTTTTTGTTCAAAGTCACAGGCCGCTTTGATGATAAAATTGATAAATTTAAATGAACGCATGGTATATATGTCGTAGTCATTGGGCGTAATACGTCATTCCGCGGAAAGCCTAGTCTTTGGCGGTACTGCCGGCAGAAGCTGTAATCAAATGAATATTCCTTTGTTTGACTGAAATTTTACGTCATTTCAGGGATTGCCCACTTAATTTTAGTCAAACAAAGTAACCGGTTAAACCAGTACATGTTACAGCATTTGACGGAAGTCTACTTAGTCATTTGCTGAAAAGTCTTGAAATGTTTGATACTTTCTGTAGAAACGTAAATTTTTGGTAGAAGAAAAGAAAAGCCAAAAAACTAAAATATTTTTATTGTAGCATAATATTTGTTTCGTTTATTTGGAATAATGTAAACATGTAATATTATAAAATCATACAAAAAACGTTAAGTACATGACCTAAACAACAGATAAAAATATATTTTTTGCCTTCAGGTAAATTAAACAAAAATAAAAATATATTCTTTAGAAATCTTTGGCAGCCTAAAATATGTACAACTGAAATAAAGGTGTATTTTGAGGTTTGAAGTCTTTTACCTCCTTCATTACTTCATAATTTCACGGTTTTTTGGCATCTTTGTTTTTCAAATAATATTCATTTAATTTATCATAAAACAAACTCTTATGATTATCCATTTTCCAACAATTACTAAATGTTACGGCCCGAAATACTACACAATAAAATGTCAAGCTTTCAGCAAATGACTAAATACACTTCCGTCAAACGCTGTAACATGTAATAGTTTAACCGGTTACTTTGTTTGACGAGAATTATTTAGGCAATCCCTGAAATGAGTAAAATTTCAGTCAAATAAAGGAATATTCACTTCATTACAGCGTCTGCCGGCAGTACGGCCAAAGACTAGGCTTTCCGCGGAATGACGCATTACGCCCAATGACTACGACATATATATGTGATGCAGCTCTTCAGTTAAGTAATATTCCAACAGGTGCCAGTGGAGTATATGCAAAAGTACGATGTTTATGTGGAAACCTCTAACCGACTAGAAAAATTTGTAAAAGAGTTTAAAGTGACAGTTTTACAGCCGTTTGAAAAATTTTCTTCAAAGCCATTTGTGCAAATTTGTACAGCGGCAAAATGTTTACTATTAGTACCTACTCCAAAAAATTTTAAAAAAGATAATGCCATTTTCTTTGTAATGAAAAAGCAAAAAGTAGATGATGATAAATTATTGAAATTATGTTTATCTAATGAAAATAAGAGAAAAGAAAATTGTTGGAAAGTGGAGCCTATTGGAATTATTCCAGATAATATAAAATTAGAAATTGGCCAAAATATAAATGATGCTGTTCGTGTTGAAAATGAAACTTTTATTACTTATCTTCGATATAACGATAGTAAGAATATTCTTCTATTTCCCATCATTTTTGAACGCAATGAAAATAATACAACTACTATTGTTTTAATTATAATATTACTTACTATTTCAATAATATTTTTAATTATTACCGTTATAATTGTAAGAAACCAAATTGCGTCAGAAATTTTAAACGTAAATGCTGAAGTCATACCGCTGCAAAACATTGTGACAACAACAGCTGATGAAAATTCAAATTACATAAGCAATGAAATGTTTGAAGATTATTTAGACAAGAAGTTACAAAGAACAGAACTGGAAAGAGAATTTGAAGTGAGTAGTGTTATTACTTCTGTTATTTTTTTACTTAATTTAATTAAATTAAAGTCAATGCCGACTACTGCTGACGACAAATCATGGGATGCTTTAAGATTTAAAAATCTTAACAAAAATAAAGACAAACGAAATATCTTGCCATGTAAGCTAATATTAAGTGACATAATTTTCAATTTACTTAAAAAAAAATTTTAGTTGATTATAATCGAGTTGTTCTTAAACCAATGAAGTGGATTGGATCAGAAGACTACATAAATGCTAGTTACATTGATGTAAACATAATAAATTATTTAAAAAACAGAAAACTCAAATAATCTTAGGGTTACAGTCGTCAAAAAGTCTACATAGCTGCCCAAGGACCTAAATTTAATACAGTTCAAGATTTTTGGAGAATGATTTGGCAAAATAATATTGAAACTATAATAATGGCCACTGATTTATTTGAAAACAATGAGGTAAGCTTGCCTATGTTATAATTTTGATATTTATTTAAATTTAATTTAAATTAATTTTTAGAGAATGTGTGCTGAATACTGGCCTCAAAGTTTAAAAGCAATTTTAGAATGTGGCAATATGAACATTATTTCAGTTAAAACAAAAAGTTTTGAATATTTTGTTAAATCCAAACTTGAAGTTTCTTATAATAAAAATAAAAGAGTACTTCATCATGTCCATTTTAGGTGGAAAAATGATAAAAAACAATTTCTTTACCCTAATGATATACTACCTGTGGTGAAACTGATAAAAAACACACGCGAGAATGGTTTTACTCCCATTTTAATACATTCTGGGTACCTAATATGTTAATTAGTGACATTTTCTAAACAGATTTTGTTTCAGTTTTGGCACAAACAGAACTGGAACGTTAATATTATGCGATTTAGCTTTAGAAATGCTTGACATTAAGTCTAAAGTGAGCTTTTATAAGTTAACTAAAGGTCTTAGAAAACAAAGACATAACATCATTAACTCGACTGTAATTATATATTTTAAAAATCGTTTAGATTTATAGTTTCTACAAAATATTTAAATTTTTAGCAATATTATATTTTGGCACATTTAATCGTGTCTGAATATCTGATGGAACAAAAAAGTCCTTTTGTCAAGAAAAACGGTGAGAAAAAAGAGTTTCAAGAACAACTTGATTATTTAAAAAAAATATGTCGACATGATGAGATAATTCGTTGCTGGATGTCAGAAGACAAGACCTACAACATACCTTTACGTTTCGGTTAGGAAAAATATGAATAACAAATAAAAACATGAGTATTACTTTTTTTTAGTTCCCGGTTATGGAAAACCCAAAAAGTATTTAGTTACACCACAACCAAAAAGAAATGATTTTCAGAAATTTGCAGAGTTTTGGTTCATAATTGCCGATGAATCAATAAATTATGTAGTGTTTTTAAACAAAATGAAAAAGAATGTAAGTGATTTTTTTTTCATGAAAACTGAAAACTATTAATACTGCAAAATAGGTGCAGTTATGGCCTTATAGATTCGAACATGATAAAGTTATTATTAAAGTTGAATGCTTAAATTGTACAGAATCTGTAAATTGCTTAACGAACGAAGTATCCTTGATAATTTACGATAAAGGTACCAGTGTGGTAAGTGTGGTGACGAAAAATTTGTAGATCTAAAGCGCCACTTATTATAAGCTTTTATTTCCAGATACAACATCAAAAAAACATTTTCTTTTATGAACTGAAAGAAGAGAAAAACTTATCAGAAAATCTTGCAAATAATATTTTAAAACTCATATGTGATGTGAAAATAAATTGCCCCATTGCTGTTTCTTGCAAGTAAGTAGGTACAAACAATTCATTTAGTGTCTTTTTTACTCTTTTTTTAATTAGTGATGGAATTAAGATGAGTGGACTTTTTATTGTTCTATCATACATAATAGAAAAGTATGAAAATGAAATAGAAGTTGACGTATGTAATGCAATACGAATTGCAAGAAGAGGTAACTCCCAATTTCTTAATAGCTTGGTAAATTAAAAAAAAAAAAATTCCCGTTAATAATTAATGATTTGTTTTAGGAACAACTGAAATTTCTTCATACGTGTGTCGCACAATATTTAGAAAATTTTGAGAGATACGATGTTATAAATAATTAATATATTTATAATGTATTTATATTATTATTAATATCGAGCGCTCAAGATAATTTGTAATCGAGTCATCTCTGCAAACGAGAACGTATGTCTATTTTTGAACTAACTTCACGGGAAACGTCAAATAAAATGACAAGTCGTAAGGTAAAACTTCAAAATGGGCTGAAATTAGTCGCCGACGTATAATGATACGAGTAGGACCGTTCTTTTTTTAAGGTAAATTATAAATTTAGTTTACCTTTCGACTTGTCATTTCACTTGACATTTTACAGACATACGTTTTCGGATCCAAGGATGACTCGATTACAAATTATCTTCATCGCTCGATATATTTATCTATACAAGGTGATTCTTTTAGGGCCTATATTAGAAACTTTTAAACTTCTAATGCAGATAGAAATTTGGAATTTTGTACACAACTTAAGTCGACCAGTCTAAGTTTAATTAAATTATTTTCAAAATGGCTGAACTTCTGGAACTACGAGAAATTGGCGCCAACTTTGTAATTCTCTTCTTTAAACTAAGTAAAATGTACCTAGTTGTTAGTACTTATATGTCAAAGTTTTTGACATATGTCAATTTTTTGGTCAAAATTTTTACTTGTAGGGGTTCATTCAAAACATCATAGCTCTTGAACCCTTTGAGAAAAGTGAATATTTTTTTGCATTCGATAACCAAAGGTTCGATAAGTTTTCTAGAATTTTCAAAATTGTCAACTGTTAAATTGCAAGGCTAGTATGATTTTTTGAAAATGATTATTAACAAACAGCTAGTTCCGGAAGTTCAACCATCTTGTAAATAATTTAGTTGAACTCAGACTGGTTGATTTGCGTTGTGTACAAAATTTCAAATTCCTATCTGCATTAGAAGTTAAAAAGTTTCTAATGTAGGCACTAAAAAAATCACCTTGTATGTCTTTCGCGCATCCAACTCTACTGCGCGAAGACGCATTTATTTAAACGGATAAAAGAATAAAAACCCGCCATTACAGTTTGTTATCGCAAGGAATGAGAAGGAGTTAGATTTCAATCAAACACACAATCATACGAGCGTGGGCGTACGCCGCCTCCGCGTTTATTTCTTGTCCGCTGATGGATACTAACAGTATGCAGCACAATAAACACATACTTATTTATTTGAGCGATACTTTTTTTTAATTAATTAACACTTGATACATCTCCAAGTCTTCTTTTAAACGTTTTAAATTTAATAAATGTAACTTCAATCGATCAGCGTACATTTTTGTTAGGTTATTGTGGCGGGTTATTGAGTTTTTTAAAACTTTTTGAACCTACCTTTATTTTGGTCGAGCGGTGGCCCACCAAACAGACCGATTAAATTTCTTTGAACGTAGGACCTCAGCCAACCCGTGAGATCAATCAATATCAGGAGAGTAAGATGCAGTCAATTAAAACGCATTTAATTATTAAACTAATGGTATTTGGAATAAAATAAAATGGTTAACATAATATAAGTGAAATTTACAAAAGGTAAATAACTGTTAAGCGAACATGACAATTAAAACAATTGTCTAAAATAGGGAGTATTCCTATTTTAGGCTTTATCAAAGTCATAATACAAAACTGAAACTATTTTCTAAACACATAGTGATCAACAAAGGCGCTAATGTTTTATTAAAATTTTAACGGAAATTGGCAAAAATAACAATGGTGTTAACGGCACGTTTATCAATAAGAGAAATAATTAAATTAGTAATTTTACACAAACTATGGACTTTAACAGACTTAGGAAAAACAAGCCAAATGTATTTATTATTCAATTTGGAAAAACATTGTAATTGCTGTATCAGGCTTATCTATGCATCGTATGAAATCTCTGGTTTTCATTTGTCAACTTAACACTCTAATAAGAAATAAACGATAAATGAAACTAAAATCTTAAACTTAACTTGGGGTTCGTGAATTGTAACCAAAGACCAAATCTCTGTCGTCATTGCTTTGACTCGTGAACCCTTCCATCTTTCAACACGCTTATATTTCAAGTTCGTCCCAGCCCAAGCGCTTTAGCTTAGCAAAAACATGACTTAAATAAATAGGAAATTTTAATAACGGCTTTGGTTGACATTTCGTTCGAAATTCCCAAACAAAATCGTAATGTGTGTAATCTTTGGAAGATCTAGATCAAACTTGGTGGCAACGAAGTTGTAGTCGTAGCCACACACAAGGAACTTGAACGCTTTTTTGCTGGATAATAGCTCTATTCTTCCACCCAGGCAAATGATCCATTGGCGTAACAACTGGATACAGATCAGCATGTGCCGTTTGCCACATCCGAAGACTTACGTCTTCATGTCCTGTTTCTGTTCTTTGAATTGATCTAACAAAACTTTTTATTTATTTACCTAACCATTCTCCCTACTCCAACAACAAATGGTTTTCTAAAACATCGCTTGACTTAATTTTAAAGGATTATAAAAATATGAAAGATTCCTAAATTTAAAGAATAATCTTATTTCATTGCCAGATTTAATTCGACGCTTGGGATGAACTTGAAATTATCAGATACAGAGTTGTCATTGATTTATGCTCTTTTTTTATTTTCAAATTATGGTTGTTGAATAACCTCTATCATTATCACTTAGTTCGGCAAAGTCATTATTACTTGGTTCGAAAAATCAACTGTAAGACGGTCCCTACTTTAAATAAGTTCTTCTTCGAATAGTCTTTAAGTTAAATTATCTCAAAAACGAGCAAAAACTAAATTTTAAAACCCAACAACGGTTTCTTTATCTTGTTACGGCACCTATGATTATTTTGATTAACCACCTAATAATTTTTCAAGGGTTCAACAAGGGTTTTTTTAGCCCGTCACATTTTCTTTTGCAACTTAATGGTTGTTGTTGTTGTTGTTGTTCATTTTTCTAGAAGGCTCACTTTACACTTTGAGTCTAACGTCTCATCTATTTCTTTCCGTTTCAACTTCAACTTTTTGATAATAACTCATTTCTCATGAAAATTAATACAACTGAGAGATGAATAAGTAACAAACACACACAGCTCAGTTCGCAGCCTTATAAATGCAGCTTTATAGGATCTTAGGAGACTGAGGCGTTAGGGCTTCACTAATGAGTCACAATCTAAAAATAGCAGTGTCTCATCATCCAAAAATAGCAACCATATCAGGGGATTCCCACCCTAACGTCATGATCCAAAAATAACCATGACATCATGATCTAAAAATAGCAATCACAGGGGATTCACTTAATTTTCAATGTGGGAAAATAAAATCGACTAGACTATAAAATGAATGAATTAAAGGAAAGGTATTTTTTACCACGTGATCCCCTTAGTTTTTCGTGTACGAATAAATTAGTTACGTTTACAAATATACCTAAGAAAGATATTAAGAAATGGCTAGAAGGTGTGGGTGTAATCTTATACTTTACACAAACAAGTTCGTCGAAGATTTCCTAGAAATAGTTATCACGTAACCAACATAGACGATCTATTTCAAGCTGATTTAATAGATATGAGAAATATAGCAAAACATAATCGAGGTGTAAATTACCTTTTAACTGTTATCGATGTTTTTTATAAGTTTGCATGGGTTGAACCCTTGTATACAAAGACTGGTAAGGAGGTGGCTGCAGCTTTTAAGGAATATTTGATAAGCGTGTTCCTATTAATGTCCAGACTGATAAAGGAAAGGAATCTCTAACAAAAAATGTCCAAAAGTTGTTTAAACAATATGATATAAATTATTATGTAACATTATTTGTTACGTAAAAGCCGTTGTAATAGAAAGATTTAATAAAACTTTAAAAACAAAAATGTATAAATATTTTACATATTCAAATAGTATGCAGTACATTGATGTATTACCTGAATTTGTACATTCTTAGAATAATTCTTATCATCGTACTATTAAAATGGCCCCTAATGAAGTAAATCCTGATAATGTTTTACAAGTATATAATAATATCATGAGTACAAGAAAAAAAGATTTTAAAAGAATCAAGCCTGAAAATATGTACAAAGTTGGTGATTATGTGAGAATTACCAAATACAAGCATCTATTTGAAAAAGGTTACATGAGTAACTGGAGTGGTGAAATATCTTGTCCACAATCCATTATTCGGAATTATCGGTTTTCAAGTAGATAGAGAAACAAATGATGATCAGTCAAAAGATTGTAGCTTATTTATTTTACTACTGTCCTAACTGTACTACTGTACAGTTCGAGTATACTCCATGCGTGAGATTCTTTGGAAGAAAAAAGCTCCACCACTTGATAAATGCAATGATAATAAAAAAAAAGAAAAAAAAAAGAATAAGAATAACAAAAAAAACAACAATAACAATAATTGTAGTTCTCGGAGTTTCTGAAATATAAAACAAATTGTTATAAAGTAATAAACTACATAATGAAAATTTTACCCGCTTTAGTACTTGTACTTCTAGGATATTTGTTATGTGTTTTATTGTATGTGCAGTTAGAAGAAAGTTCAAAAGTTCCAATGTCACAACCAATTTCGCAAAAATTTTCAGATGAATCCCAAGAACAATTCCATCTAGCGTTATATCCTATTGTAAAATCATTGCAAATAGGAAAATTAAGTCCGCGCAGACTTTGACAACTAAGTTGGCAGTTATTTGTGGTAACGTTTCTTTTGGTGTTTTTATTTTGATTTAAGCTCTTACAAGTCAACTTTTCTTCTGAAGAATTAATTTGGCGAGAAACTTAAAACAAATATTGTAAAAAAGAGAAAAAAAATCTCTTCAAAGTTTTACCCATGTTAGGTGACTCGCAAATATCGTAATCGAGTATCCAATACCCAAAATTTTCCTTGCCATATCTTCCTCTACGAATATGTATTTCAGCATCTTTCTCAAAGTTTAAGATTGTTTTATTTACTTGCCACTTCATGACTGATTCACCTTCATTTAATAGATTACTATTAATTGTTGTTGTTAAATTTTGATAAGTAATATTCAAATAACACTCATTACATAAGGATGTAAACAAAAGTAGACACGATATTCTATTTGATGGAATTGTCAAAGTTGTTGGTTGTCCTTCACTAATTTTGTTTGACCATCTCAACTTGTCTACAAAATGTAACATTATTAAAAAATGTAAATTTAACAATTTTTATACGAATACTTACATAAATGTTCTTTCAAAAAAACGTTTCCATTTCTACTTCTAAAAACAACATCAGTAGGTACAAAATTATCGTATTTTCCAATTATTTCATTATTTCTCATATTATTAACATAATTATTTTTTATAGTGACAGTGAAATGGTACCACTGTTTGTCTTCAACTGATGTATGATAGTATCTGCTCTCTTCATTATTGTACACGAAAATCTCTATTTCAGTTTTCTCTTTAGCATATAAAGAAACAGATACAGAAGAAAGTAACTTATAATGAAAATAGAAATTCGATTTTATGGCAAAATCTAAAAAACAAAAAATTATACTTACTCAATTTTTTTATCATTATTTACAAGTAACTTACTATTCCATCTTTTGTCTGTAACATGAACCATATTTAAGCTTGATGCATTTTTGACTTCCCAATCATCAGACAGCCACTTTATATTATTTTTTGATAAAAGCAACGTCTCAGGTGTTTCAACAACTGGATCAACAAAAACTCCGGAACCTTCCATTTCTTCGTTTATGCAATAGATATTAGTCTTATTCTTCAGTGTAAATATGTTGCCCTTAGCATGGACAACAAAAATTAATATGAGAATAATAAATACGAGTAGTAACCTCGTAGATTTCATTTTAAATCTGAAATAGTATACTAAGCATCAAGAACGGTAAGGACATTTTACAGATCGAAGACAATTGTTTTGTCTAAGATCGGCAAGTCTTTAACGTTCGTGATGCTTATTACATTTTTTGCGCGATTGATTTTTGTTAGTTTTTTTAATAAAATATCTAAAAAATGTTCTAGAACGCCAAAATATGTACTTTGACGACGATTTTGAATGCTTACCGACTTAGCAACAATAAACAAAATATTTACCGACGAGTTTGAGATAGCAACGAGTAAATACAACTTACTATCTTGGAAATAGACTCAACTTGTAATTGAAACCTAAGGTAGAACTTATATTTATATAGATCAACGTATCTGACAATAATCATTCTAATTTATCTAATCGGACTTCCAATCGTAAACAACTAGAGTTTTTCCTTTTTTTTTTTGTAAAACAAGTTATACCACGGCAGCCTGTATTTGATGGAGAATAGGTTGTGGGTAGGCGCCACTCAGCCGAGTAATGGGTTTTCAGAAACACGTGACTGGGAACGCAGCACTCAGCCAAGAAAATAATAAATAAAGGGATATATTCAAAAAGTTAAGAGGCGGCCGGAGCAAAATCTATATATTATGGGAGTACCAATGTAAATGTCTACCTCTGTGTTTCAAAAACTTCTAAAGATATTTTTATGAATTTGGTACCATGTGAAAGAGAATATTTTCTTCTACATTTTGACTGTTTTAGAATTGCGATAGGGTATTTACAAATCGTAATAAAGGTAGAGAAAGTTTGAATAAAAGTGCGCACAATAAAAAAATACATTTTAAGACGTTTTTCCGAACTTTTAAAACAGTCAAAATGTAGATTGTTGTATATTAAGGTGACAGTTTCAAGTCCGGTCTCTTTCGTAATCTTGTTCGTCAAAATGCAATCAACAGATTCACGGCCACAAAATTTTATCCATTGTTCACATAAAGTTTAATTTTTGGGAATATCCTAATTGCTTTTCCCTTTTCATACGTATTGCCACAATCAGCTACTGCACAAGTCAAAGGCATTGTAAAGTTGCAGTTTGCCGACAGATGATTTATTTTGAAGTTTCACTTTTGCGCGTTAATTCACGTCACGAGTTACTTTTGCGGGGTAAAAATTTCAAAGTAGATATGTATTTAAATGCTAACGATACAACCTCCTAAACGACTTGATCAATTCTGCTGGCACCCCTTTTTATGTGGCTTCCCCTATACGAGCCATTACAACTCTTTTACTTTGTAGATCAAGATACGGTAAAGCATCACAACTCTAAAAAAATTAAAATAGTTCACAAAAGCAAAAACTAAAACACCCAATTAACTGATAGGTACACTGGCCGCCAAAATTAAGCGGGCAATTAGAATTTTGTAATATTTCACATTGCAATATTTTTTTGTTATTCTTTGTCGGATTTCGACTAATTTTTGTTCGGCTTAAAGAACAAACTTTGCAGAACATTGTAATTTCATTCAATAATATTTCTAATTTTGTCTTGTGAATACCTAAAAGAAGAGAGCACTGTATATTTACTTTTCTTTATACTGAGCTGTAGTGTGCAACAGAGACAAAATTAAGTTTTTACTTATTTCAGATTATTGCCCGTTCTTTTCTAAATGAGGACCAATTTGTTTCAAAATTTTCTCTTCTGGTGCCCCAGAGATATAAAGCATTGAAAAAGACGTTGTTTTTCTAATGTTATTAAATATTCGTTCAGAAAGTAGGCTACATAAAAAGGTAGTTAAACCGAAAATTATTCATTATGTCACCAAAAGAGCATAATTACGTATTTGAACACAAAAATTTGAAAAACTTGGAACTTTAAAGGATTACAACAACTAAAACAGTTAATTATTTGAAGCTTCTATTCGTTTGTATCTAGACACTTGGAATTTAATTACGCGTGTCAATTTTTATAGCGAAATTTAAAAATTTGGCAAATACCGCAAAATTGTGATTAATGGTGCTATTCTGTAAAAAAAAATACTTGCCATAGCGCTATAACTCTTTGAGCTATCGACTATAAGTAAAAATCGAATTCTCTAAGGAAATATTTCTCTATATCTAAAATTCTATAAGCTTAAAGTCTCTATAAAGTTATGGCGAGAAAATTGCTGACCGTAAAGACTTATAGTCTCTATAACGATATATTGTCATGGTAACAATGTCAATGTCAAAGTTCAGTGATGGATCGTTGGTATTTTAAAAGGACGTTGGCGAGCTTTGCTGCAACATAGAGTGCTACACTATCATCCTGCAAATGCAGCATTTCTTGTTTATGCTAGTGCTATTCTTCACAACATCGCTGTTTGGGCAAACATCGAGTTTAATGAAGATAACATAGCTTATGATGATATTGATGTTGATGAAAATGTTGATGGTGAAAACTATGACGAAAACTTATTGCGACAAGGAAGAATTGCCAGGAAAAATTATATTAGAAGAAATAATATTTAATGTCAACAAAATACAGAATTAAAAGTATAGCTAGTAATTATTTTAGTCACTTGATACGTCTACGTTAAAAGAAAAAGTAGGATTTTCAAATTTATATTTTGCCACCTCAAATTTAAACTTTGCGATTTCCAATTCCATTTTTTTTTCTCTAGATTCAATAGATCCTGATTCTGCCCATTTTTTTTTATACTCAGCAAGTAATTCTTCGCCTATCATCTTTACCGATCGACTTTCTCTAATAGGCGGATTCCTAATTGGCCAATTCCTAATAGGCCGATTTTTTGCTGTGTTTGAAGATGTTTTTGTTTTTTTTACTATCGACCCTCTCGTCTTGTCTGTTTTTCTGGAGTGGTTCTTCATCAAATACTGCCACAGTCTTTTGAATTTCAGATTCTAGAAAATCTTCAGGTGTCAGATCTCTTTCAGGTATTGGTGTTAGGGACGGAGATATTTCACAAACCGGCTCCAACGGAGCCAAATATGATTGTAAACCACCAACCACTTGAACTCTACAGGAACCAGTTACTGCAACTTTTCCCCACACAGTAAGCCCTCTTTCCTCTTGAGGTGTTAATTTAATTATCTCGTTTTCGCCGCCCCCAGTTTTGAGTCGGTTCTCAACAATTCGCCTGTACTTTGCCCTGGTGTTATTTTTCCAATCGTTAAATCTTTACGAATTATTTATTATAAACGCTTATATAATTTTTTTTATATGTACATACTTTCGACCATTCCTTGGTAGACAAAACTGGTCCAGAACCGCAAGAATTTAATTTTTTTACCAGATTTTCCCAACTGGTCTCAATATAATCTGGAGCAACAGTTGGATTTATTGTGTTCGTGCGAAATACTTCGTCTGATTCCATTAATTTTAAATACTCCTCTACCTGCTCGTTGCTAGTATTAGCGCTTCTTTTCCTTTTTCTTTTAATATCTTTTATATTTTCCATATTAACACCACGAAACAGTTCAAACAAATTATCAAAAGTTTGAAATTTATTATTTGACGTTTCAAACTCAGCGCTTACTTGAAACAAATTGGCGCGTCAATAGAAAGAAGTAGGGTAATTACTGCGCTATAACTCGAATGTTTACATAGACGCTTAGAGAATATCAATTTTGATACGATTCTATAAGGACTTTAAAAAATTTATATACAGAGCTCTATTAGCTATGGAATATACCAGCTTATAGACTATAGCAGATTTTTAGAGAATAGCCTAATTATTGTCTAGACTCTAAAAAATAGATGAAGTGGACATAAAAGATTAAAAAAAAATAACTAATCTAATCTAATCTAATTACGCGTGTCAATTTTTACAGCGAAATTAAAAAAATTTGGCAACTACCGCAAAATTCTGATTAAATCACTTGCTTTGATGTCTAGACTCTAAAAAATAGATGATTTGGACATAAAAGATTAAAAAAAGGTAATGTGTGTTATGTGGTTATAAATAAACTTTTATCTTAGATATTTAATCTTGATCTTAAAATTGTTTTCAAATCAATTTTTTTCTAATTTGCGTTTATAATATGTTTATTAACGTCTCCAGTAGGAGTCGTTTATGGCTCTCTATAAAAACACACTGTACTTTTTTTTCCTTGTAATAACTAATTTTATAAATTTTGTATTGATATAACTTTTCAAAATACGAAGTAACAAATTAAGTAATTTTTAACTTAATAATCTATTTATTTTCCATGTTTAATACTCATGGTTATTTATTGCATTAGAGTATTGATTAATTATGATAAACTTTATTTATTTTTATTTATTTTCCTTCATTAATTCTAGCAAAAAATTCATTGCCTCATTAATCGGCCATTGTCATGCATTTTACGTCCTCCTCAATTATTTGCAACAATTGTTCTCCCGACAAACCAAAAAAACCATTTGTATCTTCACAATAGCAAACACCAAATCATAATATTCGATCTCAATATATTGCCAATGTGGTCAAGTGGAAGAAACTGGACAACATATTGTCGAAGAGTGTCGACTTACGAGTTTTCAAGGACGCTTCACCGAAATTCAGAATAGTTATCGGCAGAATCTAAAACTTGGTTGAGAAGATGCTTTGTTAGTAAGAAAAAGTGCAACAATTTTTACTGAGTCTGGCCCTAAATTATTACGGTTGAAATTCGATCAATCTTTTGCTACTACTGCAGTGCTGACATTCGCAAAATATAAAGTAACTTGATTTTTTCAAATAAAACACCTTGTATGTTATTACTTTACCGTGTGCAGCTTTTAATAAGTTTTCTAAAAAACTTTGGGTTTGGAGGTCTAAACCTTGTTTTATTGTACAGCTTTTTATACCTACAACATTTTAAATTGTTCTGTTTAGCCTTAAAAATCAAGTAGGTTTGCGTTACTTCCTTTTCTAAAAAAATTGGATAATTTTTTATAGTTACGTTACCAAACAATTTAAAAGTAAATCTTGAACTTTTATAAAATTAAATTCAAATTTAATTATTGAGATTCAAAAAGCAGTCCTTTTAAAAACTTGTAATATTATTAAATTCATTATAACATAAATAATATAGCTATTAATAGAGAGTTTTTGCAAATCGTAAAAAAGTTTAACGTATTACGACAAATGGTCGTTGCTAAGAAATCAAAAAATAAGACGTTTACGTAAACGTCTTTGAATTGACGGAATACGCCTTTTGCCTTTGAAAAACGTACACACGACAATTGAATGACATTGCCTTAAGGCTTAACTTATCGTTTGCCAAGATAGGGAATTTCAATGCATTTTTCGAAAAGGTTTTTCTCGGCTATTATAAGGAATTTTTTGGTTTTTATTTTTTTGATGAAACCATTTTAGATATTTCTAGGGATATTGTTATGTAGCTAATTTAAATTCTTATTTTTTATATATTTTTTAACTTATTTTTTATAATAAAATTATAGTATTTATATGGAAACTAACAATGTCCTTCCTACATGTACCAAAGACCTTAAGAAAAAAAAATGAAATCATTCGGATAATTAATAGCTGAAAAATCTCTTGTGGAAAATATTATTAACTTTCGTAGTGTGAAAATCGTCTTGTCTCTCTCAACCCTAGTTCTTTTTCACAACAAACTGAGCTTACCGTAAGCAGACCCCCATCACCGGTTTTATCTGATTTATGACCTTACGAGGGATGTTTCGCATCTATAAGGAAACAACTAAAAGTACAAGCTGTAAAATTAGGTCATTTTAAGAATTGATGTAAAAGATGAATAAATTTAATTTAAGTACCAAATGCTGCTCTGATTTCATATAATTCTAAAGGTAAATATTTACATTGTTTGAAAAAGGCTGTAAATTAATAAAGTCCGGGATATTATACTACTACACATGTAAATGCACAACAAAAAGTAAAAGCAAATAATTTAAAACGAAAATTAAATAAAAATAATGACAACAATCTAGTAAACAGAAGAAAAATTACTGAAGAAGCAGATGATGATTATGGTTGCGTTGTGCAAAGATGGTTTGAAAGTAATTAAAAAAACTCCTGAAGAAATTTAGATAATTTTTAATCAAACAATTTAATCACTATTTACCAGCTTATGCTGAAATGTGTTWAAKAAATAGTTGCTCTATGTAAAATACAACCGCTTGTAACTTGTAACATTAGTGTTTTTTATTCCATTTGTTACTGTGATAAGTGCTAAATAAATAAATAAATAATTCAGCCCTACAGGGTTCCTGCTTTCCGGTCGCTAGATCGGAGAGTACCCTGCTTTCCGGTCGCTAAATCGGAGAGTACACAAATCGACAGTAATAAATGATAATAAGTAATTGTCAAAAAATMAGTACTTTATGTAGTATTTTTTGACTCTCAAAATGTTTTTATTTTTTTTTAACTTTTTGTAATACACATAATTCCTAAGCACAAACCGTCCTCAGTGAAATTAATATAAATATTAATTTTTTTTAGGATTACGTATTGGGCTTAGTGCCTTTATACGTATATTAAACCTATCATTTTTTTAATTTATTATAATTAAAAAATTGAAGTTTTGAAATGAACTAACAATTCTCTTCTTGAGGGGTGCAGAGGCACATCTTTGCTTTGAACTAACGCAATAAAACGATCATGTTTGTGGGTTACACCCTGCGATCCGGCCCTATTCTAAAATTTATTACTTTATTACCAGTAGGTACCCGACTTATATAACTTGGAAATTATTATGAATTTTTAAAAACAAAATATTTATTCGAACAGACAGAGATTCGGTATTACAATGTTACATCTTCTAATAATTCAATTCAATTTATATACAAATTTTATGTACTTTTACTGATAACAGTGATAACTAATTATTTGTATTTATATTTATGTTCCCTTTGAACTCTAACATAACTCCCGGGTCGGTATCTATCGGTCTTTCAAATTTGCTGTCGTTGATGGAGATATGAACACCGATGAGTGCAAAAGTGATAGCCGACTGACGCATAGAAAATCGGTTAAAAATGACGAATTGCAATGTTGTATGACACAAAAAAAATAAACATACAACTGCAGTTCAGGATTTACCGTTATCTTCTACGATGAAGAGCCTTAAAGGTAGGTAGTAAACAGTTTTTTTATATAAATCATAAATTGCTTGTCAAAGCACTGTCATTATCTTATCTGAATCGTTGTAAATGAACAACAAAAAATAAAAGCAAATAATTTAAAACGAAAATTAAATAAAAATAATGACAACAATCTAGTAAACAGAAGAAAAAAACTTAATATTTATATTAATTTCACTGAGGACGGTTTGTGCTTAGGAATTATGTGTATTACAAAAAGTTAAAAAAAAAACATTTTGAGAGACAAAAAATACTGCATAAAGTACTAATTTTTTGACAATTACTTATTATCATTTATTACTGTCGATTTGTGACTTGTACTCTCCAATCTAGTGATCGGAAAGCAGGGCACTCTCTGATTTAGCGACCGGAAAGCAGGAACCCTGTAGGGCTGAATTATTTATTTATTTATTTAGCACTTATCACAGTAACAAATGGAATAAAAAACACTAACGTTACAAGTGGCTGTACTTTACATAGAGCAACTATTTTTTAAACACACTTCAGCATAAGCTGGTAAATAGTGATTAAATTGTTTGATTAAAAATTATCTAAATTTCTTCAGGAGTTTTTTTAATTACTTTCAAACCATCTTTGCACAACGCAACCATAATCATCATCTGCTTCTTCAGTAATTTTTCTTCTGTTTACTAGATTGTTGTCATTATTTTTATTTAATTTTCGTTTTAAATTATTTGCTTTTATTTTTTGTTGTGCATTTACATATTTAGTAGTATAATATCCCGGACTTTTTTGATTTACAGCCTTTTTCAAACAATGTAAATATTTACCTTTAGAATTACAGTCTGTTATTAGAATGCGTTAAGAAACTTTAAACGGTGATAGAACTCATCAAAACAAATTACTTTGCTAAGTACCATTTTTTCGAAAACTCAAATTTATACTTACCTTTATTTTCACCGTATTCCGTGTCATCGAGTCGTTTATGGATGGCACGGTACGCAAAAAAAGTAAATGCGGCAAAAACCCAGGCAGATAGGTCTTGCAAAAACTTACTGACACAATTTAGTCACGTCCTTCACCTGCATGCGGCCGTGTTTACAATTTATTAGCAAGTGAATTTCCCGTAATTATCGTCAAAAATGGTGCAGTACACTAATCCGGAGTTAACAGACATGGTGCTAATTAATCTACGGGGAAGCTTAATCGAATGCTGCTGGAGCGATTTCGCGGTCGCCAAGTTCAAATTTAGAAAATCGGTGGATAGGTCGTAATGGACCAGTTTTATGGCCAGCTCGTTCACCGGACTTAAATCCTTGTGACTTTTTTCTATGGGATCATTTAAAACAGATTGTGTATGAAATTCCAGTTAACACCGTCGAAGAATTAACTGTTCGTGTGAATAATGCAGCCGAGTCAATTCGACGAAATTCCGACATGTTGGTGACAACTAAAACTTCTATGACTCGAAGGGCACAAGCATACATCGATAACGGAGGGCGTCTTTTCGAACATTTAATTTGAAGGTTAGTGACCTTGATCAAGTATGGTGCGTAACTTGGAATGTCACTCTCACTTACTACGAATAAAAAATTGGTTTTTGCTTGGCTATCAAGTTTTTATCTTCTTTCGCTTTTAATGTACGCAGGGAGACATTGGCGGGTACTAGAATTTACGTTCAAACTAATTAAAATTTTATCTGGGTTTAGAAAGATTTTTCGAAAAAATGGTAAATAGCAAAGTAATTTGTTTTGATGAGTTCTATCACCGTTTAAATTTTCTTAACGCATTTCAATAACAGACTGTATATGAAATCAGAGTAGCATTCCCCCCATTTGGTACTTCAAATTTTAATTTATTTAGAAACAGCAAATAGGAAAATAAGCCTCTTGTCTATAGTTGGTACCAACAATATTTGAGACTCATTATAGAATAAGACGATTACCCCCCACGGTGGTTCATGGGGCTTGCGGTAGAGATGCCATAAACAAATTTGCATTTTTTAGGACAGGCACGTTTCAAAGGTTTGTAGGAAGAGATGGTCCGTTTTCTAACAGAAATTTGTTTTTGGGCTTTCATAAAAAAAAATTAATTAATTTTAATCTGCATTATCACTTTAATATTAAATTAGTATATAAATTCCCCAAAGTTTGCCTGTAATAAATTAAAAGCCTACCACGAAAATTCCTGAATACGGCTCTTTTGTAAATCTTCAGAGTAGTACCCCAGCAGTGAAAAATTATTACGGCCAACCGCAAAGTTGCTTAATCCTCAATAAAGCTTTGCATACGTCAATCTCAAATATTCCTGGTGAGACTATACCTACATACCTTCAAGCAATAAACAGTATTTTGTTATGAAGACAATAAGTACTACTTTTGTAAACTTCATCATATCAGTAGCAACCCCTTAACGGATTAAAAACCCATAACAGGTATCCAGTAGGAAAAAAGGGCTTCAAGTTATTCCTAACATTTCTGCATAATAATTAGACTTAATTTTTGGTGAAAAATAGAATTACCAGGTGTAAATACATCGTCTTATTAAATTTATTCATCTTTTACATTAATTCTTAAAATGATCTAGTTTTACAGCTTGTATTTTTAGTTGTTTCCTTATAGATGCGAAACATCCCTCGTAAGGTCATATATCAGATAAAACCGGTGATGGGGGTCTGCTTACGGTAAGCTCAGTTTGTTGTGAAAAAGAACTAGGTTGAGAGAGACAAGACGATTTTCACACTACGAAAGTTAATAATATTTTCCACAAGAGATTTTACAGTTATTAATTATCCGAATGATTTCTTTTTTTTTTTTCTTAAGGTCTTTGCTACATGTAGATATCCATATAAATACTATAATTTTATTATAAAAAATAAGTTAAAAAATATATAAAAAATAAGAATTTAAATTAGCTACATAACAATATCTTGGCAAACGATAAATTAAGGCTTAACCCCAAATGAATGGTGAAAACCCCAAATTTTTCACCAAAATAATAACTTTTTGCAGAAATACAATAGTATATTATGTTATTAGGAGTAAAAGTGATTGTTTATTTGGCAAAGCTGAACGTTCATTTTGCCTTCCTCCAGAAGGAAACACTATTATTTTTATGAAATTGATGGACCCAAATCCGGAAAATTATAATTTTTCGGTTCAAGTGAAATATACTGCTCCACAAAAGTTAAGTAAGTGTGCAATAATTACAATAATTAATTAAATTAATAAATTATTAAAAAAATAATAATAAAGGCAGATATCTTATTACTTTTTTGTTTTTACTGGATTCCACAATGCTTAGAAGAATAAAATTTGTTTGTTGTAAAAATAATGCGACTTCCTTAACTTTCGTGGAGCAGTTTATTTCGATATGGTGTGTATGTTAAGTTTGCACTAGGAGGGGGCTTCTAATGGTCATATAATTGTCATAGATATGAAAGAATTGGTTTTTGGGCATATAACAAAACTTGGGCCTCTTGTAATAAAGAAGTTTCTGTATTATTTGCAGGAAGCAAAGCCTTTGATATTGAGCCTTTTATGAATAAAATTTTGGCTTTGATTGATGAAGCCATTTATTAAGAAAGAGCTTTTAGATATGTTACGAATTATACACAATGGTGTTTCATTGTTGCTTAATTTGATTATAGTTATATTTACATAATCTTGTTGACGATTTGGTCAAATTTGTGCCCAAAGAATGTCTACCTTAAGAATATGGTGGCTCAGTTGTCTTAAGTTTGCTGAGCTTTTTATATTAATTTTTGAAAAAAATAAGAAACAAATTACCTACGTGAAAACTGTGCATTTTTTGACTGGGAAGATAAACAAACAGTAGATGAGAGCAAAAGACCTGAAAAGCCAAAACATGTTAGTGATAATTTTCAAGCTGAAGGCACTTTTAAAAAATTGGAATTGAATTAAACTAATCTTAAAAATAAATGTTATTTTTAGTTGTGTAAGAAATGATTGTAACTTATGTTTACCTGTTTGATTAATATCTGTATTAAAAATTTGTATACGAAATAACTATCTACTATTGAAATTTTTTTCAATGTTCTTCATAGTTTGAGAATGTTAAGTTAGATAATTGTATCGCCTCAAAAACCGCTGAAACAATTTTTTTACTACTTGTTCTAATTTTTTTTAATTTAAAAGTTAATTAAACCAAAAAATCCGTTTTCAAAATCTGATAAACTGTCGCTGTTTTCCTTGCAAACTACTTGTATAAATTTTGTATTGATATAACATTTCAAAATACAAACTAACAAATTGCAAAAAAAAGTATTTTTTAACCTAATATTCTATTTATTTCACTTGTTTAATACTTATTTATTGCATTAGAGTTGCTTAATTTTGATAAACTTTATTTATTTTATTTATTTTCCTTTATTAATCTATCAAAAAATTTATTGCCTTGTGATGGACCAATCGGTGTTATTTGGCAATGCCAAGAATTTGGTTGCGTTATGCTGACCAGGTCCATTGCAACTTCGATAGTTTATTGTTTAAGTATTTCAATAGTATTTCGTTTAGCTTTGTAAGTATTATTATTACGGTTAATGTAAGTAGGTTAGGAGATATGGAGGTGGTCTTGGTGACCTATTGTTATAAATACGAGGAAGCCACCATCAGTAAGAATAATTATGAATAATTATCAATAAGATCAATAAGTGATAAGAAGTAAGAATAAGTGAGAAGTGAATAATGTAGTGAATAAATAATTAATACTGGTACGGGCGTTTGATAATCGAACCCCCTCAATCCATACATTACAGCCTCATTAATCTGACATTGTCATGCATTTTACGTCTTCCTCAATTATCTGCAACAATTGTTCTCCCGACAAACCAAAAAAACCATTTGTATCTTCACAATATAGCAAACACGAAATCATAATATACATTTACAGCATCTATGCTTATACAAAATAATGAATCAAAAAATTTAACTCAACAACAAAAAATTCCTTCGTGTTTTTGGATTGTTGTTATCTATTGAAGAGCCCCAACACGTCGAGTTCCACCACCAGGTATTAACTGCTAATTAAATATTGAAATCACCTATCTGTTGTTACTACTGATTCCGGTACCTACTGATGAAAGAAACACGGGGTCTTCACCCGTGACTGAGGAAACAACAGTAGAGGGGACCACAGAAGAAATAACCAACAACTAAATAATATTATAAACAAGAATAAAAATAATAAATAATGTTAAATAAAATACAATTTATCATTGTCTAACATAGCTCCGCCTCTTCTAGGAAGAAAACTTTTAGTAAAGGAACTTTGGAAAAAATATAGAGAACATGCGCAAGATTTTCCAATTTGGTCTGAACTGATTGCCCCTGAGAATCGATTAAAATCTAGAAAACTCTTCTGGGTTGAAACGTCCAATATTGACAACTCTTTTCTTTCTGATGAATGACGCAATATGACTTAATATAATATATAATAAAGACTTAATAGTAAATCCAACAAAAAGAATACCTGGAATGGATCAGCTAAGGTGGGTCTGGGTGAAATTGAACAGATTAAGAACTGGTCATGCTAGTGTAATTCAATGTTATATAAATGGAATGCTGTGCAAAATTCACATTGTCAATGTAGTCAAGTGGAAGAAACTGTACAACATATTGTCGAAGAGTGTCAACTTACGAGTTTTCAAGGCGGCTTCACCGAAATTTATGAGTTGTCGGCAGAAGCTAAAACTTGGTTGAGAGGCTTTACTAGTTTTGCAATAACTGCAGAGTGTTCATTCGCAAAATATCAAGTAACTTGATTTTTTCAAATGAAACACCCTGTATGTTATTACTTTATCGTGTAGAGCTTTTAATAAGCTTTCTAAAAAACTTAGGGTTTCGAGGTCTGTTTTATTGTACACCTTTTTAAACCTACAAAATTTTAAATTATTCTATTTAGCCTTAAAAATCAATTAAGTTTACATTACTTCCTCTTCTAAAAAAATTGGATAATTTTTTAAAGTTACGTTACCAAACAATTTAAAAGTAAATCTTGAACTTTTAAAACTAAATTCAAATTTAATTATTGAGATTCAAAAAGCAGTCCTTTTAAAAACTTGTAATATTGTTAGGAAATGTCTCAATATTAACAAAGTTCATAATTACTTAATTATTCATAATTCTTTAAGTTGCAAGGCGGAAGATCTGTAGTGACGCTAGATTGGAGTTTTTCTTACATTAATTCAATTCATCAACGTCATTACTTGATAGCAATATCCGTAATGGTGAATCTTGCCTGACTGCAGGTCTAAATCGCCGGGTCAGTGGAGTGTAAAAGTTATGGAAATTATTTGTCAGAGAATTATGTCATGTATAATTGTCTGCCAAATGGTTTCTACTTCTTTTGCCGGGCCTAATAAAAGTTCCCTTGAAATGTCAAATAATTTTCAATTTACTCACTTTTTCTTACCGCTTCCTTAATGAAATGTATCAATATCCCGCCCATTTTATAGAAAATGCATTAGAGCAGTGATTCCGAGTTTTTTCTTAACTAAGAACGAGGATTACTAAGAAAAAACTGAATGATTTTTAATTATTAACGATAAATAATGCAATTAATAAAAGCTGGGAAGGACGGATACAACAAAACCAGATACGCCAGGGAGAACCCCAGATTAAAGCGCCAACGGGAATCAGTTGAACTCAAAAAATGTCCAGGCGAGAAAACTGAGAATAGTATTATTTCTATCGAGATGGCGATGCTTTTTCTTATGAAAATAGACAGTAACCATAGAAAAAAGATGTGAACATCACACGACTTTCCTTATCCAACTTATCTGGAAAACATCCTTACGACAATAATTTAGTGTTGTGTTAGAGTAGCAAACCTAACGTAAAGTCACTAGAAACGATAAGTAGCGCAATCGTCCGCCATGTTTGGGATTTTCGAAGCGGAAAATTCAAAAATTAAAGAAAATTTCTTGAACATATTTAAATGTACAATTAAATTATGTAAACATAACATATTGGACGTCTCAAATAAAACATTTATTTCACTTTCTGCTTGCTGCAAGTGAAATTGCTGTTGTGCCTCAGATAAAAAATTTGTTTTCGTCAAAATGACGAAAATTAGTAAAAGAAATAACTGAAAAATAAAACATAGAATATGTAATGGCAAATTAATTATTTATAGAAGCTCGCACTGCCATACTGCGACTACTCTGTGTCGAAGTCGAAACATCATATTATGGTTTCTAGTGAGTTTAATCTAACCAAGGCCATCTGAATCAAAAAGCTGCGCTTATAAGGCCGTTTCAATTTTTCCATATAAACTTTGTTTCTGTGACATTTCGTGCGTCAGTACCTTATTGCGCTCCATCTATCGATTTCGATCGCAGTCGATTGAGACTTTTTATTTGTAGGTTAAGTGCTTAAAACATCAATTAAAACATGAATGGTATAAAATATCCAAGATCCGAGCTTATTCTAGGTACATTCTGGACTAGCAAAATACTAATAAATTAGAATTACAATAAAACATGAAATCATAACACGAGGTAGGTTAGAACAATTTATATTTTTCAAACAACAATATTTTTCTGCAAAGTGGTTTGTTTGTTTGTTGAGTAATCCGTAATTTTTGTAGTGTCTTTAAAATTACAAAAACAAAGTAAAAGGTTGTCCTTATCATTGTCTGCATAAATTTGCTTACCGCAAAACGTTTCAAACCATTTTTGCCTTTGTTGCATATTGCTGAGAATTTCAAATAATCGAACATTTTTTGCCCCACAAATGAAACACGGTTTTTACCATTTTATACCATTATTTTGTAAAATTGAAGGGCATTGTTTTAAATTGCCGCCAATGTTTATTCGTTAATCGGCCACCCAGGGCGCACAATAAGGTTCTGAATTTTTTGTTTTTATGGCCATTCTGCAGAAACAGTTATCATGGAGAATGAAACGGCCTTATAAGCGCAGCTTTTTGATTCAGATGGCCTTGATCTAACGTTTGCGTCAGTGCCATCTGCCGGATGACACGCGAAATAGATGATAGTTGTCGCGGGTTCGAGTCTAAGGTGCATTTTTTTTATAGTTTGGCACCCATTATTATTATTTTATCACATTTTACTGTTTAATAAGGAATATTTCATGATTCTAAATAATTTCTATCCCCATGAAGTCAACCGTAGAATTTTGCGGCCGCTTTACGGCCGATTTTTGGTCTATTCATAAATTTATTTATAAAAAATTACCTACAACATGATAAATACTGAACCACAAATTTACAATTAACAATAATTCAGGACAGTTCGTTTTTTATTAAATGCACAGAATACTTATGCCTTTTAACATTCTCCTTCCTCTTTGACTTGTACTCACATAAATCACACTTAAACATCTTAGTCTCATCACTGTCATGAATCTTCATATGTCTGATCAAGTAATGCTTAAACTTTCCTTTGTAATCACATCGATCACATTCAAACCACTTGATTTTTTCAGGATCAGCATGCTGCCTTATAATATGTTGATTGAGAAATGTTTTAAACCTCGTCGTAAAAAAACAATGAGGACACTCGAGCAATAATTTCCCTGAAGGGTGTCTTACAGCGAGATGTTTCTCCAAAGCCACCTCACCTGTTGTTTTATAAGGGCAAAGATTACACATGAAATTCCTAGGGATACTATCAGCATAATGTACTTTTTTGCGTCGCCTCCCACCCTCATCCTCTCTAATGTGTCTTAACCTAATATGCGATTTCAAATCCGATGTGATTTTCGTTTGGTAGTTACATTGGTCACATTTATACCATTGGGCGTCGTCTGCGGCCGTGTGCTGTCTAATCATGTGACATTTGAGGACGGTTGAATGTTTCGTTTTAAACGGGCATATCGTACATTCGTATTTGAGTGTGTCTTCGGGGGCTGAATGGTTGTAGCGTTTGTGTCTTTTTAGATTGTTTTCGCGATCTGTTTTATAGTTGCACATATCACAACAAACCCATTTAGACTCGTCAATAATTGTGTGTTTTAGCTTGAAATGTTTCGTTAATAAATATTTTATTTTGGTTCTAAACTCGCATTGTTCACACTGTAGCCATATGTCTTCAGGACATGTCTCGTGTTCTCTCATTTGGTGATGTTTTATATTCGTTGCATGTTTTGTTTTGAATGAACATTCCGTGCATCCATATATGATTGCATTTTCGGGGGCTGAATGGTTGTAGCTTTTGTGTCGTTTCAAATTCTTTTCCCGGGTTGTTTTGTAATTGCATAAATCGCAGCTAATTAATTGAGAATTGGGAGTGAGTGTGTGTTTTAGGTTGATATGTCTTGTTAGTGATGGTTTTAATTTGGTTCTATAGTCGCATTCGTCACATTGCAACCATATTTTTTCAGTTTCCTGGATTGAATGCTCACTTAAATGTTGTTTGAGAGAATCTGGGTCTTTAGTTTTGTATGCACACCTCGTACAACCGTAAATGGTTTTATTTTCGGGAACTGAATGGTTGTAACTTTTGTGTCTCTTTAAATGATCTGGTCGTTTTGTCTTGTAATTACACAAATCGCAGCTCAACCATTGAAAATCATCAGCAAGTGTGTGTTTCAAATTCGAGTGTCTTACTAATGATGATTTTAATTTGGATTTATAGTCGCATTGTTCACATTTAAACCATTTGATTTTTTCAAGTGGAGTGTGTTTGTTGACGATGTGGCAGTTGACTGTTGCTTTTTTCGCCGATTTGTAGGGACAATAGCTGCATTTAAATCTGTAGATTTCTTTGCAAGCTGTAGATTGATGTTTCAAACATATTAATATGGAGAAAGTTGTAAAATCACACTTGTGGCATTTGTATTGTACTAAGCCTTTACGAGTCATTTTTTCATCCAAACTTTGATGTAAATTTCGCTCGTGGTAATGCAAAATGATCTTGAAATAGGTTGTAAAATTGCAGTGTTTGCACTCGAAAGCCTCGGGAGACTGGTCACAAGTGAAGACTGTTTCGCCAAATCCTAAGTTGTTTTCCATTATTACGTTTTTTTCACCTAAAATTGTAGAAATAATTGTTTTATCAATATCATATGATACTAACTTTAATTCGTTACACTTTTTTCATATATTTTAATATTAGTGTCCGTATTTTTAAAGGAAAATTGACGTAAAGGTGCAATAACCTTCCATCTACTTTCTCAACTGTGACTGTCGTCTAAACGTCACATGATATAACCTTCACTAGACCTACTTCCAGAAAGTGAGAAAAACAATTTTGGGCTATTCTGGGCTGTGATATTTGTTTTTTTTTAACATATTAGCAATTTTTGTTAAATTTTATTTTTTAATACAGTGGTGGACACTGAATTTTACACAAAATTGTCAGTTCAAAAAATGGTCAATACTTGTTTTTGGCGACGATTTTTCGAAACAATAATGTCAGCAATACGTTTTTTTATATAAGTTCAATAAATTATTTTGATTTGTTGTAATTTTTTCTCTAGCAATCAGCATAAAAATCACAAAAATCTAAAGTGAGGTTAGTTGCCTAAGGCCCGTTTTACATTTTTATGTCCAAAATTCGGTGTTCGCCAGTGTATTATCAAAACTAGATTTTTCCTCAATTTTTTTTTCCACAAATGTTAACACAAACAAAAGAGAAGTCTGTACTGTAATGATTTTGTCCATTCTAAATTATGTGACTTTAATATCATTTAATTTTAAATAATTAACAACTTTTAGTCTGGTTAAAAATTTAACTTACTGAACTCAGAACCCTAAATTTTGTTTTCTCAAATTCGTGAATTCGCGGAATCAGGATTTAGTCACAACAACGTTGACAGGTTATTGATTGCACGATTTCTAATTAATTTTCTGATCAAAAGTCGTAAAAACCTATAAAAATTTGGAAAAAAGGGTTTGATACATATTTACACAATTAAAAAATCTGATTTTTATCATTGTAGTCGTAAATTACGACTTGGAATTTAGTAATGGAAGATATCTCAATGTTTGGAGAAGAAGAGTTCAGTTGTGATCAAACACCTGAGGCTTTCAGGTGTAAATTTTGTAATTTTGAAACGGACTTGAAACTTATTTTGCATTATCACATTCAAAATTTTCATCTTAATTTGGATAAAAATGAAGAGACTAAAAAAATTACAAAGTATAAATGCCACAAGTGCAATTATTCAACTTACTCAGTATTACTGTGGTTCAAACATAATGTTAGAAAAAACTTGGATATTCATGAGTTTACGAAAGTTTACAAATTCGAATGCAGTTACTGTCCCTTTAAAGCAGTTCAAAAATTGACATTGAAATGTCACATCCTTTACAAACACACCCCCTCTGAAAAAATCAAATGGGTTTATTGTCCACACTGTGATTACAAAACTAAAGTAAAAGGATCATTACGAAGACACGTCGGTGTTAAACACACATATATTGATGAATTTCAATGGTTCAGTTGTGATTTGTGCAATTACAGGACACAACAAGAAAGGAATTTAAAGAGACACAAAGTTTATAATCATTCACAAAATATAGCCATGCACGAGTGTACGAAATGTGCGTACAAAACGAAAAATCGAGGTGACTTGAAACGCCATTTAGTAAACCAACACACGGCGATTCAGAAATCTGTATTAAAAAAGGAATTTGGAAATCACACTGAGCCTGAAAACATATGGCATTGTGAACGATGTAACTACAAAACCAAAATAAAATCAATAATGAAAAGACACATCAATGCAAAACACTCTGACATTGATGAATCGCAATTATTCAGCTGTGATTTATGTAATTTCAAAACGCAGAAAAAAAGATATTTAAGACGACATAAAAGTAACAACCATTCAGTTGAAAAAATCATGTATAAATGCACAAAATGTTTCTTTAAAACGAAACATCAAGACATTTTAAAATGCCATCTAATGACCCAACATACGCACCAAGATGTCGCCCAATGGTACAACTGTGAGTACTGCAGTTACCGTTCGAAGATAAAAGAAGATATAACGAAGCACTTTAAATCAGAACACGTGAAAGAGACACCGAAGCCTTGGAAAAAAACAACTGAATTTTCTTGCAACTTGTGTTCTTTCAAAACCTTGTATCAGCGTTCTTTTAAAAAACACTTTGCTGGACGTCACACTGCACCTGAAGAAATCCAATGGTTTGAATGTGATCAATGCGACTACAAGGGAAAACGCAAAGACTATCTTGTTCTTCACAAAAAAATGCATCTTAGTGTTAAGAAGTTCTCGTGCAATAGTTGTTCCTTTAGGGCAACAACCGAGGTGGCATTGGAGAAACACATTGCAAAAAACCACTCTTCAGGGAAATTACTCGAGTGTCCTCACTGTTTTTTTACGACTAGATTTCAGACGTTCTTGAATAAGCATATAGTAAGACAACATACTGACCCTGAAAACATCGAATGGTTCAAATGCGATCATTGCACTTATAAAGGGAAAGTTAAGGAAAATTTGATTAGACATATTCATAGAGTTCATGGAAGTCCTGGAGTTAAGACGTTCAATTGCGACTTGTGTGAGTACAAGTCAAGGAGAAAAGATAATCTCAATAGACATAAGCTTAGTTTACACTTTACAAAAAACGAAGTATTGTAATTTTTTTGGCTACTGGGTTAGGTCAGTATTTCTATGTAAAACAATAGTTATTTGTTTTACAAGTGGTGAAAAGGGATTTTGTCATGCGAGTTTAAATTGTGAGTGTGCATGAAAAAAAGACTTTTCTTACAAGTAGAAGACAATGTTTTTTCTACCATCTTTATGAATTATTTATTATCATAATAATCAGTCAATTGCCGTTAGCAGCGTAGTGACAGTCAAAGTCAAAATTTAAAATGTCAAAACCACAGCTTCTTTGATTAATGAAGAATGTTTTCTTTCACCCTGCTGATAGCAGTGGCATGTATCCATACATATCAGGTGAATAAAAAGTATGGAACCATACATTTTTTGCTTAAACTATTTATTTTTTGGAAAAACCAATTGACAAATAATAAAGTACTATAAAAATGTGATGTTTTATCATACTATAAAAATGTGATGTTTTATCATGAATAAAAAAATTAGAATTTTGTTTTTGTTTTTGAGCTCTACAAAAAAATTCTTTTTTTAAATGGCAACCCATTATAAAACCATTTTTCTTATCAGGGTTAGGATTTAAGGATTATAATTATCTACTATATTATATTAAATTTTTCAAAAAAAAACTTTACATAAATTGCAATTTTGACAAAAAAATCGCATAATTCAAAAACGTTTTGTTCTCAAAATACGATCACATTTTTTATATTACTTTAATTTATATTAATTATTATTTTTTGTATGCAAATGATTTAAAAGAAAACACTTGGTTCCATACTTATATTCACCCTGTATTTATTTGAGCAGAACAAATAATCTTTTATGTTGTATAGTAATGAAAAATAGTTTGATTTTGTTACTTTAGTGATAAATGACATTTTTAAAGCAATTGTTCTTTTATAAACTGCAAAACGTACTAACCATTTGGGGAAGTTATCAGAAATTGTTTAATTTATTGAAAATGAAAGCCCATTGTCAAATCACAAGTTTTAAATCAGTTTTTAGTTTGTACAAGTTGATCTACAGACGTACCTACATTTTTTATTACAGTATATTGTACCGTGAGATCAGAAATTATTTTGTCAAAGGTGGTCATGGGTTTTAAAATAATTGTCGTAGCTTATGTCAACGTTGTCGAATTGTTTCAAAAGGATGATGTAAGCAGCGACAGACGTTTTCCATTCCATGACCACTCTTGACCAAGATCATTTTTGATCTCACGGTACAATTGCGGACAAGGAATTTTGGACATCAAATTTATTATTGTCATAATGACTGAATAAAATTCGAAAGTTTTATTTGAAATTTATTTTTGTCGTAGATTTTCCGAATAATTATGTTTTAATAAAGTAAAAATTGTAGTCGGGTAATCTTCTCCGTTGAAAAAACATTTGCTATCATAATGACACATGAGACAAGTTTTACATTATTATGTTATTCGAATGATAAATCGTCCAAAATTCCATATCCGGAACTGGACATGAAAAAATTCAAGTGCTTGTATGAATATGTTTATATATATTTTTAATAAACCATTTTATACGTTACTTTTTGTTCATCTACAACAATCAACATCATTTGGTTATGTGAAATAAACCTGCAATAGCATGCAAATAAACTGCTATATTTTTTTATCTGGTTTTTGTCTTAACTCCTATCACGAGTTTAGGTCCGTGACATCATCAAATTTCCTTGCTTTGAATAAGATTTAAGAACATTTATTTATGTTTGAATTATATATTTCGATTGTGAACGAACCATCGTAAAAATTGTGGTCCGTTCACAACAAACTCATATCACCGCCAACTATGACGCTAATTTTAAATAAATACCCGTTAATTGTTTTTATGTGTGTCGACGTAAAATCTGACATTTGATAACGGGATTTGGAAAATTAATAGTTCCAACACCTAGAAAAAAAGGAAAGATGTAATAAAGAATTTTATTATCATTTATACAAATTTTACATTCACCGCAGTCTTACATACATAGAATTAAAAACATTCTAGACAGTAGAGCGTTTCGTACAACATAGGAATTCATCATCAGAGTACAAAGAATGTCTCGTGGTTATATTACAGCTAATGTATTTACAAATTCGAAATTACAGTTTGACCTATTAGACAGTAAGTAATTCATCTTAATTATTTACAATTTAACAGTTAATTTAATTTAACAATTATAATCGGGGGGAATGGGAAGAAAATCCTAATTATCTTTGGTCGTGATATGTTTACATTTCGGTGTTATCTTCCGCATTCTCTTCGGGTAATTCTGGCACAGTGTAAACCCCAGTCATCACCGGTTCTAACACTTCGGGTATTTTCGGCGTTTCGAGCGTGGGAGTCCCCGTGCTTAAAAGTGTCTCTTCTGTCAAATTTCTGTGATAAAAAGTATTATTTTTCTGTGGATTGAACTGTCATGATGTCATGTTGTACGGATCTGACGAATTTAAATCGTCGGTAAAACTTGTCGAATTCACTTTGGGGGTGATTTTCTCTTGATGTTTCAATCTATGGACGATTTCGTCATGGACGACATTGAAACACATTGCAGTCAATGCCATCCCTGACATTATGTAAATTGAGCAGAACCATATGGTCGTGTTCGATTCACGTCCAAATGGATCACTCCCAGGAACCATATCGCCAAACCCAATGGTCGTCAGACTCATAAAACAGAAGTAAAACCCATCGAGGATCGACCAGTTTTCCAATTTGTACAAAGCGAAAGTCCCTAAACAAATATAGATAAACATCATGGCTAAACATAGGAGAATCGGTGCCAAAATGCTCAATCCGTGCATTGACGACTTTGATTCGTTGTCGGTACTCAAACTGTCAATCTCTTTCACGCCACCGTCCCTTATAGGGGAGTGTAGACTGTTATGGATCGAGTTAGAACGGACATAAAATGGTTCTTGGAGGGCCATTTGTTGCTGAAGTTCCATTTGTTGACGCTTTTTCTTCATTCTTCGTTCTTTTTCGGCCATGCGTTTCTCGTCGTAACAGCAATAGCCACAATTTGAGCAAAGACAACAACAGAGAGCGCGCGAAAATACCCCTCGAGCTACACGTGAGAGGATCGACCCAATGCTGGAAAGGTAGAGAAGAGTGAGGGGGATGCCCAGCATGGCGTAGCCCATGGTGACGGCTTTGCCAAGGGTCGTCCTGGGGGCGATGCTGCCGTAACCTAAAAAAAATATATCAAATAAAATTCGCATTGCAAAGAAAACCTGAAATTAAATTTTTCTCTCAAAATTATCTATGAATTCTTGTTGAAGAATTTCATTAAGATCTATTAAATTTTTTTGTAATTACCCCATCTAGATCTATCAGATTTTTATTGAAAAATTCGTTAGCTCACCTAGACCTACTGCATTTTATTGAAAAGTTTTTAGTACTTCTGGATCTGTTAAATTTTTGTTGAAAAACTCTTATTAGTCCATATTGATCTATCACATTGTTACTGAAAAATTCATTAGGCCATCTAGAGCCTCTAAGATTTTGATTGAGAAATTTATTAGCCCATCTAGATCCTCCAAGACTTTTATTAGGAAATTTATTAGCACATCTAGATCTATCATATTGCTATTGAAAACTTTATTAGCCCATCTAGATCCTCCAAGACTTTTATTAAGAAATCTATTAGCATATTTAGATCTATCATGTTGCTATTGAAAAATTCATTAGTCCATCTAGATCCTCCAAGATTTTGATTGAGAAATTTATTAGCACATTTAGATCTATCATATTGCTATTGAAAAATGTATTAGCCCATCTAGATCCTCCAAGACTTTTATTAGGAAATTTATTAGCACATCTAGATCTATCATATTGCTATTGAAAAATTCATTAGTCCATCTAGATCCTCCAAGATTTTAATTGAAAAATTCATTAGCTCATCTAGATCCTCCAAGATTTTTATTGAAAAATTTATTAGCCCATCTAGATCTTCGCAAGAATTTTTTTGAGAAATTTATTAACTAGTTTTTCCAAGATTTTTATTGAAAAATTTGTTAGCTCATTTATATCTATCAATGTTTTATTGAAATTTTTTTTTAGCTCATTTGGATCTATTAAATTTTTAGTGAAAAACTCATTACCTCATCTAGGTATAGTATGTCCCCGGATTGAGTTATAAGAGGAAAACATTTTTTATCGTTGATTTTACACCAAAATTGCAAAGGAAAAACATTTTTTGCTTCACCTGAAACGAGCAAATATGTACTTAACACTTCATTATTATGATTCAATGAAAAGAAAAGTTAATTTTTTTCTGCTTTTCAAGTTCTATCACATTAGCGGTTTTATTTATTTGACAACTATATGTCACTTTGACAATTAATTATTTATTAGTTAAATAATGATAGTTCTTATTAAAAATGACATTGGTTTTTATCTTAACGCTGTTTCTTTGAGTTGCTATTGATTAAAATTATGTTTTTCACAAACATTTTTGTTATTTAACTTGCGTAAGCTTGCGTATATTATTGGCAAAATAATAAAACCGCCAATGTGATAGGACTTTAAAAGCAGAGAAAAAATATTCCAAGTCCAAAATCAAAAGAAAAATGTTCATTTCTTTCCACTGAGTTAGAATAATGAAGGATTGCTCGTTTCAGGTAAAGCAGATTTGGCGTAAAATCAAAGATAATTTTTTTTTTCCTTTTGTAAACTCAATCCGGGGACATACTGTAGATTTTTATTGAAAAACTTATTAACCCATTTAGATCCTCCAAGATTTTTTTTCAAAAATTTATTAGTCCATCTAGATCTAACATATTTGTATTGATTTATTGATTAGCCCATCTAGTTCTCCAATTTTTTGAAGATTTATTGGCCCATCTCATCTAGATCTATCAAATATTTTATTGAGAAACTCGTTGACCTATCTAGATTAATCAGATTTTTATTTAAAAATTCTTTATCTAATCTAGATTTCTCAATTTTTGTATTAAAAAAATTGGCTCATCTAGATTTGTCAATTGTTTATTAAATATTTATTAGTTAACGTTTGTTATATTTATTTGCCCAAATTGCCGTAGTTTTGATCTGCATCTATCTAAAATATCCTGAGAGTTAAACTTGTTAGGCAAACCGAGAAATTTTGGTGTTTTTTTTACACTTTTAGCTAACTTTGCTGTTTATTCGCTACCTTCGCAAAAGTATTTTTCTTTTTAGAAACGGTAGGTATAACAAAATCGGCGGTAAAACAATTTTTTAGAAAGTGTGCTTCTCGTGGGACCAAACTTCGCCTCAACCTAATTTAAATTCGATTAAATTCTTTGACAGGTCGCATTTAAATGATAGAAATTACGATAAAAAATTGCATCTAGTTTGTAAGTTTGATTCGATTTTAGTTGTGATTTGATCAAAGCGAGATGGCTAATATTGCATTCGAATCAGATTCAAGTGCTCTCGAGCAAGAATTTCAAACTAAAGTTATTACATATTCTCGTAAATTTTGTAATTTACTTTGTGATTATATCGTAGTTTGCTTTGTATTGATTTTCTTCGAGTGCTTGGTGTAATAAATGTTGTGAATTTATTGATTTTATTAGTGGATGTTGGCTTAATCACTTTGCCGCCTTGGAAGTTTAAAAAACCGTTTCTCTTCATATTCTTAATTAATGCCGAAAACGTGCTACCTGCATTAAGCAATGCGGCAAAATACATTATAATATATATAACATGATAAGATAATTATTTACAGTGGATGCTTCCTTCTGACCTAATTAAATTTTCTAAGCTTGTTAAAAGCACTCTTCGTAAAAATTAACAATCGAGTACAGTGTTTGTAACATCGCTCTAATCGCAGGTAATCTGCGTTAATATTCCCACTATTGTCACTTATGAATATTAATGCTTCGAAGAGCTTTTAGGAGGGAGCTTTGAAATGTTTGAAGCTACTTTAATAGGCCTAAAACCGCAACGACGAAATTTTCGCTCTGAGATTATTTTATTTCGACAACTATTAGTCTTAAAACTTGTGTTACTTTACTTATTACGAAGTAATTTAGTCGCGTTTCGTTCAATAAATTACAGAGGAAACAAGGAAGAAAGGGGAAAATTTATAACCTACGATGAATTTATTTTATTAAGATAATATTTCTTTAAAAATTGTATAGCAGACAATTAATCGGGTGTGCAATTAGAGCTCGCTTCGAAATTACTCGCTGGGGATTATTCTAAAACAGTAAGCGGAAAATCAACGGTTTCTTCTTCGGGAAATGCATGTAGGAAAATTTGCGGCTTAATCGTTGGTTTTGCCAAAAGATTTAGTCTTATTTTTGCGCTTCGGGGAGGCTTGAAAAACATTGACTCGGATGGGAAGAGATTAAACGAAAAAAGCGTTAGTTAATTCCGATTTCATTACTTTTACTCAAAAGTTTTTAACATTACATTGTCTAGTAGTTTTTTTTTGGGTTTTAATGATTTAAAATTAAGATAAAACTGGTTTTCATTCCGTCTATCACGCAATTAACTCTTTATTACGTTTCTTCTCTTAGAAACTCCGCGACTAATTACCAATTTACCCATCTCAACAATCTATTAAAAACTAGTATGCAACTCGCAAACGCGATCTAAATATTTATCTCATTTAATTCAATCGCCGTCCTACACCCCATAAACCCGCCGTTATGATGCAATAATCGAAAAAGCTTCATGGTGGCGTTTCCGGTATGGGGCGTTCCGGAAACGAGGTTCCGATTGTTTCTCGTCGCTTTCTACGCTCGTTTCTATTCAGCTCCAATCATGGCTGTCTGGATGCGAGAATATCAATGGTAATTGTCAGTTTATCTGTCGCAGTTGGCTTGAGGCGATTCTGGCCGTCTTTGATTTTTTTCGCTTCCTTTAACGAGGCACAACAAATATTTTCCCCAACACTGTGTGTATGTACATAATGCAAGATAAAGTTTCGCGTCTCATAAATCTTTAAGGATTTTTAGCTTTTGTATCCGCAATCTGCAGTGGTAGTAAACTTACGAAAACGTTGCAATAAATAAATCACTCCACACGAGATAAATAATTCATAAAGTGGAAAGAAAAGAAAGTCGAATCGTTGATAATTAAAATTGTGGTGAGGTATAAGGGATGAAATGAGTTACAGATAACGTGAAGAAGATTAAAATGTGTCATTTTTAACTGTCAACAAAGAAGTTTTTCGTGGTTTTGGATGCGTTTTATTTGGAACGAAACACGTTCCAAGTGAACAATCTATCTTTTTGCGAAAAAGGGCTATCAAGATGCTAGATAGAGTACGTTTATTCTAGTTTTTATTACAGGCAATAAAAACGGAAAATGTTAGTTTCTCCTCTTGAAAATTTGCAAATAGCTCATTACTAATCCCAATTTACACGCTATTATGTGTAATCATGTATGAATAACTAGCGTCAGCACTAACAAAATCGCATAATTTATGTCATTAATTATCTCAAATCGAAATCCGTTTCTTTTTCTCTCTATTCGAATCGAATTTTCGGTGAAATTTTTCCCTCGTCTTGCCAATTACGCCCAATAACAATTTTCACATTGTTTACGTACAAACAAGAAGATGTCGCTGTAATATTAGAGAGAAGACTCACGTAGAACCCCGCGACATGAATTTTAAATTACAGAGGGCCAATATTTCACCCCCTTTTCGATTTATTCGAGACTTTCCGTCGATAATAAAGAAAACAAAACAAAATTCGGTGCGGATTTACAACCACTGGTAATAATTTTTTCTCCTTCTGAGGGAAAGTTTACGTTTAAAAAATTCCCATCGTGTTTTTCTTTCGGACGTTTAAATGAAAATATTTGCGAATTTTCGAGATTTGTCCGGAATGCCCTTTATTATTAGAATTTACAGAATGTTTTCGTCTTGTACGTATGTGTACTTGCAAACGGACTTATCGATTGAAATTCCAGAAAGAGGCCCAGGAATTCAATATATTCAAAAGTTTGTTCGACATGTTCCCCGAGTGAAAAAGAATTTTTAAATTTTAAGCGAAATTCAATCGAAAACGATGATATTACACTAATAAGCTGTCATTGAGAATGATTAATGAATCAGCGAGAGGAAGTGTCAAAAGGCGAAAGGAGAGAATTCATTAAAAAGTATCAATCGAAATTCACAATCGCAAAGTTTGTTGAATAAACAAGAGCGAAAGCGGCGAAAAATTTCACTTAATAACTTTGAAACATCTAATTAATTTTCTATAAATAATACATATAAATCAACAGGCTTAATTTTTTGGATTTTTGAGCTACTTCTTCTCTCTTTTCGTGTTACTTAACTTTATTACAAGCCGCAAAACGAATTAATGAAATGAGTTTTTTCATGTTTGGCACTGTTTTATCACGAAATTCCATTTTGTTTGATTTCCTCGAACCGTGGACGAAGCAACTTTCAAATATTACTTCATATGCAAATAGCATTGCATTCGTCGCTTTGGAATGTTCAAAGACCATAAGCACGTTCAGCAAGAGATGCAGCCCAGATGCGGACTCGATGATAGTTTCAACGAACGAATTCAATTTTCAGATAAAGTCATTATTTACGGTTGAAACTCGACTTTGAAAATATTAAAATGCGCAAATTTACGTTTAGTAAATGATTTAAATGAATTTTAAGTTCACTCACTTGTAAATCATTTTAGTAAAAATGAAACTAGCTTAAACGTTAATAAAACGCGGAAAATAAAGAAACAACATTTAAAAATTGAAAAGAGCTAGCGGAACGGACGATTTAAAACAAAGCTTTGTAAAATAGTATGTTTTGTACAAATATTTTTATCCCTGAGGATATGTTTAGTTTTAATTGTGTTTTTGCCAATGTTCGGAATTAAAACAACGTTCAATTGGCTTTTCAAAATTATTTCCATAATTTATATAGATTGTCCCAGCGAGGTGGTAAAGTCCAATATTGATCTTTAAATGATAAAATTTTAAAAGATGTAGGTATACAGGGTGTGTCAGAACTCGAAGCCCAGAGAAAAATTTTAAATAAGATAAGATTCCAGGATTTTTTTATGTCTATTTAATGATACTGATGATTTTTGAATATTAAGTGATATTTCTTCTATCTCTTGTGGAACTGTACACTTTTTGGCTACTAAAACAATAGTTATTTTTTTAATGTTTAAAGTTAAATATCTTTTTAGTTATTGACCTAAAAGTAAATGATTTTGAAAAGACCATTTAATACATAATCTCTTAAATGCAAAAACAATAAATTTAATTTTTTTAAGGTATTGAACTTTTAACAAACGTCTTCTTTTTTATCTTTGCAAATGTGGTAGTAAAAAAAACATTTCTAGATGTCTGAGTTTTTGTGTAACAAATTTTTAAAAAGTGCATGTTTTCATTGCCATAAAAACTACATCCCAAACCTATGGTATTTTATTTAAAAAACGTAAGTTTGTATTGTAACTTATTTTTGGTTAAAAATAATTTTAGACAATGGACTAGATTAGTATCTATCAATGTCCTATATATTTTTTTTTCACTAATGGACTTTACCAACTCGCTGGGACACCCTGTATTTGGTTGGCCAATTGGTCATTTTTGTTTATTATGGGTTTCTGGATTTGGAAGTAAGCAGTGTAACGAGGAAATGATAAAACTTGTTTTTATTTCCATTCAATTAAGAAATTTTTGCACAAATCTCCAAACAAAGGGATCGAAAATTTGCGATTAGGTATGTAATCCTGGTAAAACTTTATCTAAAAATAATGACAGAGTCTCATCGTTTGTTCGAGTTAAAGTACCATTAGCACTGTGAAATTTTTATCTCGTTGTGTAAATCTGAGCGAATATACTTCCGAAAAACTTATTAGGGTGTATTACAGTATTTTCTACTTTATCCCTTCATTTATATTGCCGACGAATAATTCAAAACCGTGTGTAATCCTACCGTAGAACAAACGGTTTGTATTTTTTCCTCTTGCAAATACAAATTGTCCTTCTCTTATCTAGTCTTATATGCAAACTATGCCCCTATTTCAACCGTTTAATAACCCCCCAGTCAGGAGTTAAGTTTATCTCAGCGCGACGATTAATTAAACCACTTCGAAAGAATCATCCCCTTTTCACCTGTACTTCAAAAGCGCAACTTATCAAAGAAATTTCATCTCAAATCTAATTTACACTGAAAATAATTCGCCCCGTGAACTAATTGGAACTCACTTGACGAATCCTCTCGGCAGGTAATTTGCATCAAAGTGAATCCAAGTGAGATGTATCAATATAGTATGCCCGTATGGATGATATCAATAAAACATTCATAATGCAATCATCCGACGATCCATTGTGCCACTGGCACGAATCATAATCGCATTTTACCGCAATTTACGTGTCATAGATAGCGACGTGTGCTGCACAAATACTAGTGTTAAAATTAGTACGACGAGGCGAAAAATTAAACGAGGGGAAAATGGATGACTCCGATTCGATTAACTCAATTAACGGGAAACAATTGATCATTATAGAGAGTTACTAAAGTGGTTTTTATGTCCCTTGTGTGGAAATTTCGAACGCCATGCTTCAAATACTAATGATACAGATTGTGATTTTCGATTTTGTTATTGCACGGTTTTGGATCAAGGCTAATAATCGGACGCATAATGGATATTTATTTTTAGAAACTATTAAATCGGGTCAGTTTAAATTAATTGGTGACAAATACGCAAAAAATCTATTTTAAATTAGTATTAGATTTTTTGTCAAAAATGTTAATTTCCTTTATTGTAAAATTTTGAAGCTCCTTTACAAAATCCTCAAACAGTTACTTTATTGTAGCATAAAAAAAATATTGTAAAGATCTTGAGATTGTTAAATGAATGGACATGCATAAAACCGAATCTTTTTGAGATTTTTATATATTTTTTTAAATTTAAATACTACGAAGGCGTGATGAAATGTTGAATTTGTAAAATGTAATTAACTAATTACTAATACAATTTTTAGATTTATTTTTGCTTTCTTGTGTATTTATAAAATGTGAGGAATAATTGATATTTATTTTTAGAAACTTTTAAATCTCNAGAAACTTTTAAATCTCGTCTGTTTATATTAATTGGTGAAAAATACAGAAAAAAAATCTATTTTTAATTAGCAGTAGATTTTTTGTCAAAAATGTTAATATCCTATTATTGTAAAATTTTGAAGCTCCTTTACAAAATCTTCAGTTACTTTATTGTAGCATCATAAAAGTCTGAAAACTTTTTAGGAAAAAAAATGTTGTAAAGATCTTGAGATTGTTAAATGAACTTAAATTTTAAATAACTATTTGCATAAAAGCAAATATTTTTGAGATTTTTATACAATATTTTTTTAAATTTAAATACTACGAAGGCGTGATGAAATGTTAAATTTGTAAATTGTAAATTACAAATACATTTTTTAGATTTATGTTTGCTTTCTGGTGTATTTTGAAAATGTTGGGAATATGTTTGCGATGTTGAATATTTGATAAATGTTGAATATTTTATAACAAGGTATAAATAATTGATAATCCACTAAATGCACGCTGAAAGCTCTTCAAACACGCAACATCCCGCTAAAAATAGATAATTTTTTTGCAAAATCAAACTTACCAATAGTGGTAAGCACCGTCAACGAGTATAAAAACGCTTTTGCAAAAGTCCACTCGTAGTCCCCTGCCCGCCTCTCCGCCTTCTCCTGCACCGGCTGCGCCGCCAACTCCTCCCCTAGACTCTTCAACAGCTCATCCTGAAACCTCGTGATCTCCTGCGCCGCCAACCTCGTCCAATTATCCCTGTACAGTATATTCAGATTCACCGTTATATCCCAAATATTTTCGACAGTTCTCGCTCTCGCTTCGTCATTCTTCGCTTTAAATTCCGCACTATGATTCAAAAATTTCTTTCCGGATGTTGTCGCTAAGATTTGGGTCGAGTGTTGAAAAGTCGAACCGCCTTCGATGGCGAGGAAAATGACCGAACCGATGAGAGTATATCCGAAGAGGAGAATACATATTCCTAGGTTTGTGGCCAAGCCTGTGAAGAAGGCTTTAGTGCGTGATTTGCGCGATTTGCCGAAACAACGACACGATTCAGTAGTTTTCTTCTTCGTGTCGCGTTTTAAAGAGTTGCTTTTTTGGTACGGCTCGTAGCAGTAGTGAGAGTCTTTCTCCATGGCGTTAAGGGGCTTCACACTGTCACATTTTAAGTTGAGCGATGGGTTTTGACGAGATTTCCAGGCCTGAAGTCACTGAAACATGAAATATTTAATTTAGTCCTGGAAAAAGTTGCAAGTTAAAGAGTTTTTTGCCTGACCGTTGGTTAATGTCAATATTAATGAATGGTTTTGAAACATCGTATTGATTTCATATTTTGAAGAGTTTGCGGTCAACGAAAAAATGTTTGATATAATCTCAATTATTTAAGGCACTCGCTGTCGCTCGTTCGTGCTGTAAACTGTTCATTAAAATAACTATTTTTCGTTTCTTTTTTTTAAATTATTACAGAGTGGATGTATCGGTTTTAAATAAATTCTCTTAATTGAAGTTAACCGAGTTGTTTTCTGTTTGCAAACGAAAAACAGAAAGCGTAAGGAAAATAAACAACAATATTGTTGCTTTTGTAAATATTATTTGAAGCTTAATATTGTCTATGAGGATTGTGAAAGTCAATTTTATTTAGTTTCTCGCCAATTTTTGTTAAATTTCTACAATTGGCACAACTTTGCCTTCTCCCTTCCCGCCCAAGTCACTTAAACTCGTGCCAATTACCAATTTAAATGATCCATTTGAACAATCGAACTGCTGCTGTTCTCTCCTTTGCATTGCTAAGTGATAGATCAAATTAATAAATGCATTACGATACGCCCTCGAATAATTGACTGAGAGAACAGTCACTCACCCCTTTTCCACCTCCAATAATAATAATAACAAGGGGATGTATTATTTCGCACCACCACTGTATTTCCCTCGAGCGATGTTTATCGTGTTCGGCGACGCCCCGACGACCTTTTTACGTCTTATCCATTATGACATATGTGACCTTGGAGTTTTTATCGAATCGATCTGGACATTATTTGAACTATAAATACGAAATTGAGGAACAGTTTGAATCGTCGAATCTCGGCCCAGGGGAGAATTTGGATTGGATTTTACGTTTCCTCAAATTAATAATTATAATAATCGAGGGGAATTAAACGTAATTCGAGTTTGAAAGTTTATTGAAGTGTAAGAATCTCGTTGAAATAAATGTGTCTGCAAATTACCACTCTCTTAAATGATCAAACGTCGTTAAAAATTCTGTAGTAATAAAGACTTCATAACTTTCGCGTCTTGTGCAATAAAATTTATTTCGTTCGTCGAGGTTCATAAATTCGTGTAGTTCACATTGCAAATGTTTAATTAGAATTTTAAAATTTGATTTTTTGGTGGCGAATATGTCTCGTACAAAAACCTGAATCAAATACATAGACGAGTTGGGGAATTTTTCATTTAGACTAGAAATTAATAACCGTGTATGTTAATTCTTCAAGTTTTCGTTTTATTCGTGTTGAAACTAATTCGACTGGAAACTTCGCCAAGTTTCCAGACTCTAATTCATACATAACCAATCAGTTTCACAACTTCAATAAAATTTTTATCAGTTTAATAGAAAACGTTCCAAGACAGTTTTTTTATTTTTGCTGGAGACATATTCCAAGAAGATAGTAAAATGTTATTGAAAAAGTTGTACACGATTAAAAAGTACACAAAAATACTATAACAAGTTTTAGTGGAAAACTTAAATTTAAACATTTTTATCGCCAAATCGTCTTATTTTTTTATTATTTATTATACAGGATGAATCCACTAAGATCTTTCAACGTTGATTATTTAAAGCTGTTTCTTTTTGCAAAATTAATTTAGCAAAATATGTTAATAGGTTAAGACGATGCGGAAGACATTTAATTAAACAAAGGTTGGCGCACAAGATGGCAGTCATCAAAAGCAAATGGCCGTAACTTCTTGTAACACAAGATGACTATTTCCCTGCCGTTGCAGCTTTAATTACTGTGTAACTCCGCACCGTTAGTTTCGAATTATCGGATTCGCAAACATCAACAATTCCATTAATAAACAACACGCAACACAGCGTAATTTTTTTCTATCCGTTTAAAAAACATAGCGGTAAACTCCCTGCTTTAATTAGGTTGGGAAGCGAAAAAGAAATAGTCTCTCTTTCTTTTTAATCAAAGTTCGTTTTAATACCCTTCGTCATATCCAATTATAAAAGAGATTTGACGGCTGACCGGCAAATGTCAGAAGTTTCTTTCCGAAAACATACAAAGTAAATAAGCTACTTAAAAAATTAACTTTGGCAGAGAGGCTGAAACGAATTAACAACCCTCTTATGTCGTACCGGAGGCGGTTAATTATTATTTTTATATTTGGAAAAACGTTCCCGGAAGAGAACTCCATTACAGGTCCGACCAACTTTCAGCTACATTCCCCACACGGATTATATTTCCCGAATATAATTTCTTTCTCGAGCAATGCATCAAAGGAATGGAAAAAATATGTTTCAAGGGGCACGACTCCAAGCTTTGATCGATGAGAATTCTTACCCCTGTGGTAGAATTTTTTACTCCCGACACTGTTTTAATAATAAATAAGGGGAGTGCAAACAAAACGTATTTATCACTAACAACTATTACCTAAAACTCTTCAACATTTGTAATTGCTGAGTGACAAGGTTGCAAAAAAACTTTGAAAACTTGGGGAAATATCTGCGGTAAAATGAATTAAAATGAATTAATTTCCCCAAAAGTTTGGCCATTTAAAATTAAAAAAAAAGTTATGTATGTGGTAAAACGTTAGGTCAATGTAATTAGCACATAATTGGTGGATGCGCCGGGAAATACCAACGCGTATTTACGTTTAATTCCCCCGGATTGCAACACTTGAGCTTGTAGTGTTTGGATTTAGTTTTACATTACACGATATTTTAGCTTTAGGGTAATAAAGTGAAATCGGTTCGTTAGCTCGATGGCAGACTAGATTTTTTATTTGTTTTCGGCAGTCAACAAAACTCATTCAATAAATTACTCGTTTAAACAAAAAAATTGAAACTTGATATATTTTATTATAGTTTGTGGAAACAAACAGAATGTCAATAAAAGCCGTGTTTCATTTTTGTGATAATTAAATTGTAAAAGAAATAATAGTTATGTATGTATCAAGTACGGAAAATAGGGTTTTAGGGGATGAATCGTAATTACTGACGAGGCGACGTAGGAGCCGAGTCTTTAATGAGAGGAGTCACCTAAAACTTTTTGCATATAAGATTTTTTTGTTAAACTCCCCAAACACGAATTCACACCTCTTACTAATTAAAAAAAAATCCTTTACCATTACAATGGTAAAGGAACCAACCAATTTTATTTTTTAGTCCACAAAAACTGTTTTTGGGAACTGAGTACCTAAAATAACTGTTTTGCGTACTATTTTATTGAGTCCGGAAAAGACTCATTTTAGGGACTCAAATGAGTCTCTAAAACAGCTATTTTCGGCAGCGTATACAAAAACTAGTATTTTTTTTTGTTTATTGGAAATTTTGATTTTATTGATCACATTTCTAACATCTATACAGGGTGGGGCGAGCATACAGGGTGCGCCAGAATTTTCGACCCAGAAAAAAATGTCACGTAAATTAAGATACCAAAAACATGAAAAAAATTATAAAACAATTCCATCTATAAAAATTTCTAAGTTTTGAGAGTTTAAATTTTGCACTTTGACTCTATTTATTTCTGTTCGAAATAAATATATCTATTTTTTTTGTTACAGGCTATTGGAAGAGGAAACAAGGAAGTTGTATCCCAAATTACCTATACCTTACTAAAACGTGATAGCTTGAACGCTCTCAGATCCGTGTAAAACGCTATTTGACCATCTTTGTCGCACAATAACAATTATTTTTTTGCTATTGCAAAATTTGGAAGCTCTAAAAGTAGGAAAAAGGGAGATCGAGTGAAGGTAAGAAACAAAAATTCAATCATAATTCTACAAAGTAGTAGAGTTTCATAGAGAAAAAAGGCCTAATAGTGCCTAAATTAATGTTTGAAATAAAAACATCACTAAGAGTGCGTTGGGTTTCAATTATTCAATCTGACAGTTCTGACAGTTGTCGACATTTCGCGTCAATGTGGCACACACTTTTCAAGAAAATCAAACGAAAACGATAGAAAAATGGAAGTATACGTTACTGGTTTATTAATAAATTTTGTTAAAAAATTGTTGTTTTATTTATTTATACAACGCAAAAAAACAAAATAAAATAAATTTAAGTTACTACAGCAATAAACACAAAAATAAATAATATAATGGTCATTTTTACTTCTATTATGACTAAGTAAAAGTAGTTTTTTTTATTAAATATTTCTGAAATTGAGGTGTACTTTGTTGCTTATTATTTGGTTATCTCGATTTTCTAATACATTTCAAAGAACTAAAAATTATTTTTTATTGGTTGACTTTTTCACACGTTTTCACTTTCTTTTAAATTTCTTTTTGTGTGTAAAACCGGAAAAAAGTTTTTTTTTATTTGTTTGGTTTGGTTTTTAGACTAAAAATGTGTTTTTCCACTTGGCCACTTTTGTTTCTTACTTACTTTCTTATTTTTTTTTGTAAAGCTTATAGAGTTCAGAAAATACATTTTATTCACAATCACTAATGTAATATGCCTATTACTAACCTTTTTAAGGTTGGGAAACATATCATTATTTCTCATGAAGAGTAATAAATGTTACTCCTCTTGGGTGGTAATATGCAGGATGTCAACGTTAAAATTACGAAAATACCCGAAATTTGTTCTTTTAAATTGTCAATTTACGCATAATATTTCGCTAAATTAGTATTCAATTGCTTTTGTAGCAGTTTCTCTTAATTCTGCGGGAGTACATTGCTCCATTTCGACGACTTTAAATCAGATTTACACATTATTTCAATATTTTTTTGACATTTCTGAAATGTCAAAAATCAAACGTCATTTGGATGGCCTACCACGTTTGGACCTTAACTTTGTTAGAGTTTTATTTTACTCAAATTTTTGACTGAAAATAATGTAATTGTGAATAAAATAGCATACAAACCTCGGTAGTAATGGCATTACCCCTTGTGCTTTATCCGATCTCGAGGCTAGCGCCTCTCGATCGTATACATAAGCACTCGGGGTAATGCCATATTTACCTCCTCACTTGTAATGTACTATTTATTTTTCAATATTTTTTACCATATTTCAAAAGTTAAATGTTTTGTTTATCCACTTTTATGACTAAATGTCACAAGTAAAAGTTTTACCTTTCAGCCATCAAGTAAAAATTCTATTTTTGCGCTTAAGCGTTCTTACTTTTACCATGACATTTACTAATGTTGTCTCTTTCTTCTGTCTTTTGCTGCTTTAGCAATTTCTGGAGGGGTATTAACTCACTGCACTAGTTGTAACTCTGTTTAATGTTATTTGTGGCTTTTATTGACAATATTTTTGTACCTTTACTAAATAATTAAAAAACAAAACATAGACAAGATCATCAGTGTCATTAAATACACACAAAAATTCTCAATAAAAAAATAAATGTCAAAATTTTTAGGCACAGCATTTTTTAAACATTATTTCTATGTTCTTATTCGAAATTTTTCTCTAGGATGCGAGTTCTGACACACCCTGTATGTGATTTTCAAAGAGAAAAAAATATTCGTTATTGAAGTTTTGACAAATAGACTTATATATTTGATTTTCGATGTTTCTTGATTTTCACAATTGTTGGAATAATAACCTTAGTATTACATTACTTTAGCGTTATGGTTTTGTATCGTTTTGTGTTCCGTAGTTTCGAAATTATGCTATAACTAGTTGAATACGGGCAAATCCGTTTAATAATTTTATTTAAGATCTCGTTAGTGATATAACCGAGTTATAATTATAAAACGATCTTAACAGCGATTTATTTCCGTTTCCTAACCGTGTATTTAAATATCCAATCTCTCGATTCGTTCTTGTGCAAAACACGATTACATTAAAAAGTGAATCTGCTCTTGAAACATTTACAAACTTAAACTTCCTGTCTCCATCATTCCCGCATCTTAGCCGTAAACCATTTAGAAACATAAATTATAAATAACCATCGTTCAAAAATCGCATTTCTGCGTTCGCACGCGCATCGAATAAACATTTTTCCGGCACTTAACGTCAAGATGTTTTCCATAAAAGGGAGTTTTTTTGTTGAGATTTTTCAAAATTGTCATGACTGGATGGAAATCAACATCCATTTCTCTAATAACACGGAAAATGTTTCAGAAGCGAACACACGAAATCGAATTATTCGCGAATGCATCTGGGGAAAAATTCGTTTTCTTGCATATTACGTGTCGCTGATAGTCCGGAACAGTAACACGCAACTAAATCAGCTTTCCGGCTACTCTAACACTTAGGAAGTCGTGAAAAACTTCCGGGGGAGAGTAATAGAATAAAAGTCCACTCGGCCGAGTACCTGACATTTATTCAAGAGAGAAAAAGAAGTGTCTGGGATGAAAGTTATGGATGAGTTTTGTTTACTAGAAAACAGGAAACGAGAAAAAATTGGGTTTAACAAAGGACCGAGTTAATAAACTACAATTATAAAATTAATAATGGCATAATTAAAGTAAATGATGCTTTTGACACGTTATGAGTTTTAATTAAAGTTAATATAGTGGAATAATGAAAAACAATAATTAAAAAAATACCTTAATTAAATTGCAAAACGGGCAAATATACCATTAATTTATTTGTGATTAGGTTGACAATAATTACGTTAACATTGTATAACATTGGTAATTTTGGTGGATGCGCCGGGCTAGTAACTATTTTTCTTTATTATTGTTTCAACAGTTGAAAACAGTTATTAGAAGTTTTTTGTTTGGAAGTAATAACTACTCTAACCGAAGTGAGAACTCGTACTTTCGGTTGGGTAAATATTTGTAGTAAGCTTTCTTTATGAAAAATATCTACTTATGTAATAAGATTTGGTAACTTTTATAACTTTTCCGTTGTTCATATAAGAAAATCCTTCTGGCATACGGTAAAGAATTTCAATTCCCTAACTGGTAGAGTGCAAAAACAGTGTAGAAGTTTATGTGTTGGTGGTAAAACAACCCCTTCCCCGACTTTATTAAATTAGATATGTGGAAGCGGCGCGGCTAAACGCAATAGTTACGTGTCGAGAATGTTTATATCTTTATTATGGCTACTCGAGAACAAAACGTCTCTTTCGTATATTGCACTCTGTACAAAACAAAAACTTCCCGATTCTCTATCGAAACTTTTTCCCTTAAATGAACAAAGGAACAGATGAAAAATTATTATTTTCCTACTTGTTACAGTTTTCGAATTGAAAAACTTGGACGCGGAATTACACACTTCTGGACAAAATAAATGCGAAATTTTAAAAGGTATCGTAAAAAATCGATGTCCGTCGTGACAAATATGTTCGGCAGCTATCTGCGAACGAAATAACCGTTTCCGTCCCACAAACCGCCAACCATAAATCAAATAAAACTTGTTTGCGATATAAATAACTTGCTCGCTGCATTTTCCTTAAAATTAGCTTCGGCGACATTAGCATAATGAAGTTTTGAAAGTGGCCCGTCGCCGCCTCCGGACTCTTAAATATGAAATCCCTCAACTCGAGTAATCTACAGAAATTTACATTGTTCGATGCTAAATACGAGTGAGAATATTATATTCGACGAAAATATTTTCCCTTTTCATTCGATTTAATTGGAAAACTTTTATGCTAAAAAATTTCATCTCGAATACGCAACTGTTGCACTGCTGGAACAAGGTCACCTAAAGTATCGATTCAAACGAGGATAATATTTGACTAATTTAACATAAATTATGAGTTACTTAGGAGTATCGATACGGAATTAATGTGGTACGGATCAACAAATTTTATTTTTAGGAAAATTTCAGATTAAAGAAGCGTAGGATTATAAATAACTTGATAGATGTTTTATACATGGACGGTTTAATTAAACTCAATGTAATAAAATAAAATTACTTTCTTTATGTGGCTAATGTAGCGAATGTTTGCTTGAAATAGTTTAGAGAAAAACTTTAATTAACTTACCAGAGTTATTTTTCGGGTTACGCTGACCTAATCCATCACTTGAGTCTGCAAGAGAAATATTTTGTTAAAAAATTAGATAATTAGCAAGTTTTCTAACAACACACTTTGTAGCTCCCGGACATAAATTCCCTTATTGTTATTCTACTTGAGTCCATTTTTAAGTATATTTCGATTTCAAGCTCCATTTAAGGACTATAGTCACGTATTAAGTGTATAATTCAACTATAGGAATCAATACTTCTCTGAAATATAACCGTCCATTAAAGTTTTGAGTGAATTTTAAACATTAATGAGCCGATTTACATTATACTAATTGTGTAATTCCCTTGTTTGGCACTGAGGCGAGCTTATGTTGGCTCCGGTCCAACTTTGAGACATTTCTATGCGAAAACAGGTTACATGCATATATGAATATAACTTTATATTAGGTAAGTTAGGGAAGAAAAGTGACTTTTTTAAATTTTTTACACATGCCCGGAATATTAAAAAAGTGGTATTATCACCCCTTTTTTTCTACTCCGGTTAGTACATTCATTACTTGCCGTGTTGACGTTAATTTTAATTTGGCGGGGTGTCAGTTAGGTCACGTGTTTGATCCCCGGAGGATCGTTCCGGGGTATGTTATGTGTCCGGACAAATTTTTATTTTATTGAATTGCCCCCAAATTTGCAAATATGTTGTTTGTGATTAATAAATTTAGTAATTTTAGCTAAAACTTGGAATTTTTGTCATTTTGCGGTGTTAAATTCCGTGTTGAAAGCTCGGAAAAATTTCGGATAAAGTTTGGGATGAGGGTCGAGTTGACCGGATTCGGGTCCGGAAACGTAGACAACACATGTTCTTTCTAAACTTTATAATTAAGAAAGTCGGATATCTCCAAAGAACTCTTCTCGTGGAGTTCTCTTTTAATTTTGTCTTGTTTTGGCTCTCGTAACGAATAGCTGCTTGCTTTCGTTTAATATAATCCGAGTAATGTAGCTAAACCCAGTTTTTTAATAAATTATGTGTGTAATAAAAACGAGGGAAATGTCAGAGACATGTTGTAATGCATTTATGTTGTGTGTGAGGTTATAAACGTGATTTGTTTTGAAATAAATCCAGATTGGGTTAATTATTGAAATGTGATTAACACTTTGTGGTTCATTAGGTATTTGAGATGGGCCTCAAAAACAGTTTAACTCGGGTGAAAGTTACTAATTAGGTTGTTAGTTTAATTGGCAAGGGAGTTTATTTTGTGTTAGAATAATTAGGTTTATTTTCTGGGCGATGGTGTAAATTCAAATGATTGATTTTCTTCCCTGTTTAAGTGTTATCTATTTTTTGGTAATTTAGTGTTAAATAGTCCCTAAATCAGCCATACCGAAGACGGCAAAGTAAATAAAAACATTCTCGTACAATCAGTACATTAATACTTTGAAAGCCCTGATTGCCGTAGGTCTGAAAATCCCACTTTCCGTCGAAGTTCACTCCAATCACTGGAGTGGCCTTGCTTTTATGACGGCTCAACGACCGACGGTGGTAAAGTTCAACCTCCATCAACTCAGCAGGGATTAATAATACGAGGTTTATGCTTTCAAGATGATGTTGACAGACGGTCATTGATCAATTCTTTTTCTCCTTTTCTGAATTAAAATAATAAAGTCATTCTCAAAGTGCTAAAAGTCTGTGATACGCATGAATAAACTTTGCCCATAAAATAAAAACAACGAAGGCCAAATAAAAGTGTCCATTCTTATTTATTTGAGCGAGTTGGTGAAAGTTTTTCTTTTGCTTTTATTAAACACGTACAAAGAACGTAAACTTTCTTCTTTTTCAACGAATAAATGGATTTGCATCGGGCCTAATGCAAAAGTTTGCGCCTTTACAACAATGACTGCCCTGCTTCTAGTCATTAATTTCAATCTATTGTACAGAGTGTCCCAAGTATAGATGATTTTATAGACTTCAATTTGATGCTTTAACTCTTTCAGGTACGGTGGTATGTCCTCAAGTTGTGCAAAATTACGAACTTTGTTGATAAATTTTATCAGTTGAAGGCCACATACAGGGTGCGCCAGAACTCGCGCCCCAGAGAAAATTTTCAAGTAAGGTAAGATACTAGGAACATGAAAAAAATGTTTAAAAAATTCTATCTGTCAAAAAATTTTGACATTTATTTTTTGACATTTAACTTTTTTTTATATCTATTTAATGATACTGATCATCTTGTATATGTTTTTTTTATAATTATTTAGTAAGGGGACAGAAATTTTGCCAATAAAAGCCACAAATAATATTGAACAGAGTGACAATTTAGGTATAGCTTCCTTGTTTCCTCTTTTAATAGCCTATAGCAAAAAAACTTGGAAAATTATTTTTCCAACAGAAATAAATAGAGTCAAAATGCAAACTTTAAACCCTAATAACTTCAAAATTTTCATAGATAATTTTGTTCCTGGTATCTTACCTTATATGGCATTTTTCTCTGGGGCGCGAGTTCTGGCGCACCCTGTATAGTCATGCACAGTTAATTTCGTACGCCTTTTTTCCGTGAATTCACACAAATTTACTGCAGCCTGTACTTTATTGTCATGATAACTGACATTTAAATACGTGTTGTCACATTTAATTAAATTCTTATTCGTTTTGGACCGGATTTTCAACTTGAAAATGGATTGGTTTATACCTAAAGTAATGTAAGACAAAGCACAGGTAAAAATTGGTAATATCGAGCATTTTGTCGAAATGATAAATGTTTATCAAAGTTCTCAAACAAGATTAGAAAAACCTAAAGACTAATTTACACTTTTAGTCTGTCATGGAAATTGTGTGGGCGAAATTCTCTGCCCGTCACTGTACTCAACTGAAAAAGTCATAAATGGTGGCACTGAATTTTTTTCTATTTCGTTAATACTTGCATTATGTAGCACCAAGCAACTAAAGTTTCGAAGTAACTGGTAGTGTGTAACTTGTAGAGTGTCTCTTTATTTAGGAAAACAGAAAAACGGCTTTGAAGCATATCATTACATAAAATAATAACTTTGTTAGCTATCTTACGTACGTATTATGCAGTTTGCTTTTGTTTTTATTATTTGTTGTTATTTTTCTTTGTTCATTACAATTTTATTTTCTTAATTTATTTCTTTATATGCCTATTAGCCTATTATGTCACTAAATAAGTAATAGACAATGACTACTTCATATTAAGAATGCTTTGAAATTGTCAAAAATATACGAGATTTTATGAAGGGCTCATGAAGTTAATGAGATTACCGGAGAAAGAAGAAAAATCTGAAGTCTAAAATAATTGGTCATAGACCGATGAAACTGTCGTTAATGATATTTTAATATTTATTAAAAAAAAACTTAAAAAATGATTATTTTTAAAATCCAGTAAATAGCTGTACCTGTTTAAATTTTAAATAAAAAGAAAGAGTTAATATTGTTCAAAATTTCTATCGTTTGTCAGTGAGACCCTAAAAACCAAATTTGGAACAATTTCGGAGTTGAGATAAACAAAAAATCGAGCAAAAACATAAGAAGTATACCGAAAACAAACAATTTAAAAAAACGTTGGGCTATTAAATTTAATACGGGTTTAAACTGTAACTTATAATTGTATAATTAGTAATAGTATGAGGTAATTAGCTAAGAAGCTAACTAAAAATATAATACACTAAAAAAATAACTAAGACACTAAAACAAATTTAAAAATTTAAAGAGTAACTATTTAGTTAAGAAAGTAAGAACGGCAAAAGTTAAAAAAAATACGAAAAATTAAAGATAAGATAAAGAAATAAAAAATAAAAGACAGTGAATATCAGTTAAACTGTGCTAGTTGAAAATAAGAAGTTAGAGAAAAAGTTATAAAATTACAAGTAAAATTAGAAACCTTTATAACAATGCAAATAATATCTGTCACAATATAGTGTATAGGGTGTCTCAACGATAGAGGATTTCATAGACTTCAATTTGATGCTTTAATATTGTTCATATTTTTTAGCGTTTGTCAGTAAGACCCTAAAAACCAAATTTGGAAAAAAAATAATTATCTAATTGGAATCTTTTCTACATAATAAAATTCCTTGATTTTTACTTATGGTAACTCTGAAAATTCAATAATGTAGAAGTTGATATGTTTTAAGAAATTAACATTTTAAAATATTATTTTCAATAGAAAATTAGGAATTCTGGTAATTTATGGCCAAGTTTGGGATGATGTGTTGCTTATGCATTGATAATAGAGCGGAGGCTTCACAATAGAGTTCGAGTACCTCATAAATGTCATTGCGGACCTTTTTTTTGTCAAGAAATTCTGGCATGATCACCAATTATCGCAAACCTCTTATAAATTATTTCAAGTTTCAGATTTTCAATATTAAAATATTAATTATTCAAAACCTATCAACTTTATTATTATTTTATTTTTACAAATACCACAGAAAAAAATCAAAGAATTTTATCATGTAGAAAATATTCCAGTTAATTGAATTCTTTTTCTTCTTAATTTAAGGTCTCACTGACATACGCTAGAATATCAAAACATGAAGTTAAAGAGTATTTATTTAATTTAAGAGTATTAATTTAATTTAAGAGTATTTATTTATTTAATCCTATATCGTTTACACTATCAAAATTCTTTTTTAATTAATTAGAAATATTTATTTTTGCGCCGGCCCTAAAACTTGAGACATCCTGTACGCGGATTACACCACGAATGAGATGTGTCAACACCTTTGAATTTTAATGTGGACATACTAAAATATTATGAAAGGAGGACACTCGACCCCATACTCTAATTTCCCCCATCTTTCATAAAGCAAGCAATGAATTCATTAACGAGCATATACAGGACAGCTTTAATGGCCTATCTGATGGAACAGAGTCCATAAAGTGTAATTATCTGAGATTTTTTAATAGCATGGCACAATGTGCTCTCCTTCATTCAATAGAACCGAGGGTTATCTCAAGCAAGGCACTAAAAATAATAATTAATCAAGAACTAAAAGTACTACCTCGAAAGTGGCATTCTTGCTCTCTCTTTTATTGATTTTTTGGTCCATATC